GAACTGGGGGTCTGTCCATCCATCCAACAAGGTTTGGGGGGGGTCCCGGAGGATGTAGGAAGGGGGGGGCTCGTGCACGTGGACCCCGCGTTGGGCTGCGGTCCCTGTACCCCCCCCCGCCTCCCAAGCCCTGGAGGATGCCGTAATGGAACAGGCTCCGTGTTTGGGGCCAAAACATCCCCTCCTGCTCGCAGGACAATGTTTCCTTTTTAAAACACGGTTTGGCCAAATCCAGGCATTTTTTCGCCCTTCTACTGGATGCTGCCGCTGGCGAGATCAAAGGGGACGGGGCAGCGGTTTGGGGGGGGGGAAACGGGGGGGACACGACAAGGGGAGTTTGCCAAAACCACCCCTTTTGGGTGCCGCGGCAGCCAAAATCCGTCCCTCTCCTCCTCCTGCCTGGAAGGAAAAATGCTGAGGATGGATGCAACGGGTGGGGGGGTGCTGCTGAGGGAGGGGGCACCTGGTCCCCCCACCCCACACGCCCCCAAAAAGCTGGCAGAGGGTCCCCGGCCCCATTCCCGGGGGGTCCCTGACCCCATAGGGGAGAAAATGGGGGGAAAAATGGCAAAAATGAAGACACACCAAAAAAAAAAGGATGGCTCCCCCCAGCCCCATTGTCCACCAGCAGCTTTGAAGCCCCCCCCGAAATCCTCAGGGAGATGTGCCCCATCCTGCCCCCCCCAAAAAAAATAGCAGGGCTGGAGGGGGGGCTCCCAAATTCTCCCATCCCTCCTTCCCCCACGCCCCCTCCGCAGCCCCGCTCCCACCCCGGGGTGCTGGGGACCAGGAGCTGGGTGCAGGGGGGTGGGCAGGGTGGGACGGGTGCGGGAGGTCCGTGCTGGGTGTCCCAGCCCAACCCCACATTCCCGAGGGTTGGAAAACTGCCTGGGGTCAGGGGCTGGGCTGGGGGGCTGCAGCCAAATCCTCCTGCTGCGGCCCCCCCCCCCTCCATGGGGCCAGAGGGTGTGGGACCCTCCGACGCCCCCCAGCGCCGGGGATCTGGCAGCTTCCCGGCCAGATCCACGCCCCACCTGTGTTGTGCAGCCCTGAGCTCACCCCAAAAAGCATCATCGGGGACCAAAATAACCCCCCTGCCCCCCCCCCCCAGGATGTGCTGGGCACTGCTGGGTCCTGGTGCTGGGGAGGGGGTCCCTGGGGACCCCACGCTGCACCCACAGATGGAGCAGGAGGGGTTCCCACAACGAGGTGGCTTTGGGGTCAAAACCCCAAAGGTCAAACCCCTCAAAGGGCAAAACCCTAAAGGTCAAAACCCCAAAGGGCAAAACCCCAAAGAGCAAAACCCCAAAGGTCAAAACCCCAAAGAACAAAACCCCAAAAGTCAGACCCCAAAGGGCAAAACCCCAAAGATCAAACCCCCAAAGCTGAGCCCCCCCGAGGCGCAGGTGCGGCGCTGTCCCCGATCGTGGGACGCGGGCACAGCGAGCGCCCCAGCCCCCTGCAGGATGCGCCCCCCCGGTGCTCGGCCGGGCTCAGCTGCTTCTCGTTACCTCCCAAACCCCGTCCAAGCTGGGGCTGCAGTTCCCAAATTGGGGAAGGGAAAAAAAGGGGGGGGGGGGGAGCAAGCCAGGAGAACGCTGGCTGACCGCTCGTGGGGCGCACGGGCACGTCCTTCGGTGCCACCGCTTCCCGCAACAGGGACGGGGATGCTGTTTGCCCCCCCCGGATGGGTGCAGCCCCCCCCCAAATCTCCATGGGGGTGTCTCTGCGAGCGCCGCTGCTCCCCGCGAGCACGTCCCCGGCGCTGGCCGAGAACAAAGGCTGCTCTGAGCACCAGCCACGAGCTGGAAAGCTACTTGGGAAGCAGCTCTCGCTCGCTTTCCTTTTTTTTTTTTTTTTTTTTATTCCTTTTAAATAATGGAAAATATAATGACAGGGCCTAAATTAAAATAATAAAAGAAACCAGCCGAAAAGCCAACCCAAAATAGGAGAGAAACCCACGTTTCAGGCTGAAAGGGAACACGCACAGGCAAGGGATGAAAGGGAAAAGCAGACGTGTGCACGCTGTGCTCGGCCTCGCTCCGAAGCCGCCCCTCACTCCCCCCCCCCGAGTGCTGGCAGCCCCCCCCCCGGGGCCCCCCCTGATATTTTTGCAGCTGCGTCCCCCCCGTGCGCCCCATCCCCAGCGGCTCCTCTTTTTGCGCCATGCTCAGCACCCTCAGTGGGATGGATGCCCAAGGGACAGGGGGGGGCTCAGGGGCTTCTCCTGCCCCCCGTGTGTCCCCGGGGGGGGGCAGCGGGGGACACGGGAGGTGCCAGCTCCCCGTCCCTGCTGCCATGGCGGGGTTGGGTCCAGCTGCCGAATTCCTGGCCGTCTGGCCAAGAGGCACTCGCTGCGCTCCTGCCGCTCCCTCCGGACAAGTGGAGGAGGAAAACAAACGGTGCTCGAATTTGGATAGGGGGGGGGGGTCCCCGCTCCCCATCCCCAGGTGGGGACACGGAGGGCTCTTGACATCCTACCCCCATGGGAGGGGTCATTGAGAGCCAGGATTTGGGGGAAAACAGTGGGAATTGGTGAGCCAGGTGGAGAGGGGACCCCGGCACCGGTGCGTGGTGAGACCCCAATTTTTGCCTCGGTCCCGAGGTGAACCCGGCACGGCCCCGGGAGGCAGCGCCTCACGCCACGCATTCCTCTCCCAGTTGCTTTTTAGATATATTTGAGGACTTACAACTCAATATCTCGCTGTTCAAAGCGAGCTGGTTCTGGAAAAAACATCCATTCCCCCCTTTTCAAGCTATTTTTGAAACCTTTGGCCTTTGTTCATCCTCAGGATCCAGCCCATAAATAATAATAACAACATACTTAAACCCTTTATGATGACAGCTCGCCGAAGCTGCCAGAGCGTTTTAATTCTCCAGATGTCGAAAATCTGACTCAAAACTGGAAGTTTGGTAAATATTTTGTGTGTTTTTCATTTCACGGCCACTGTTTTTTTTATCACATGAACCAGCGGAAGAAAAACACCAAGTGGAGCGGCTATTTCGGGAGCTGGTTGGAGACAAGGTGAGCTGGGGGGCCAGTGTCTCCCCTATCCTGCATCCCAGGTCCAATATCCCATACAGTGCATCTCACATCCCATATCCTATGTCCCACACCCCATATCCTATATCCCACAGCCCATATCCTGCACCCCTTATCCCATACCCCTTATCCCACATCCCATATCCTGCACCCCTCATCCAATATCCCTTATCCCACATCCCATAGCCACCACCCCATATCTCACATCCCATATCCTGCACCCCTTATCCCATATCCAAAGATCCCATACCCTATATCCACCACTCCACATCCACATCCCATAACCAGCGTCCTGCACCCCTTTTCCCATATCCTGAAATCCCATATCCCCATATTGCACCCCTCCCATCCCAGACCCTGCTCCCTACATCCCATATCCATCTGTTGTGTATCCCACCCCCAAGCACTGCATCCCATACCCCACAACCACCTCCCATAACCAATATCCTATACCCACCTCCCTCATCCCATGCCCCATACCCGCTCCCAGCCCCAAAAGGCCACAGGGGGGGTCCCATTCCCTCCCCTTCACCCCCACCCACCCCAATTCTTCGGGGGTGCTTTGAGGGAGCGAAACACCGGCCGCTATTGACTTTGGTCAGGGGACGTTTCCCTTCTCTCCACTGCACGCCGAAAAACGTCAGCAGGAAAAAAAAAAGAAAAAAAAGAAAAAAAAAGAAAAATAATAATAATAAAAAAAGCAGGCTTTTAGCACAAGTCCTGGAAAAAGCGAGTTTCGGGTTTCGCCACCGCAGAAGCAAACAGGGCGCGTGGCCGCCCTGCCCGACAGCGAGCCAGCGCATGCGGTGGCTGGAGCTCGATGCTCTCCTCCTCCTCCTCCCCGGGACGGGGGAGCCTCCTCCTGGCATGAAGCCCCCTCCCCGGCCACCCCCCCCGCAGCCCTCCTGAACGGCAGCCCAGTTTTTTTTGGATGGGGACGTCCCGTGAAAGGCTGGCGTGGAGCTGCCCTCCGCCCCGCGTGCCGGCGGGGACGTCACGGGTCGGATCCTGGCCCCTGTGCTGGGTGGTTTGGGGTGGGGAGGGCAGAGGGGGGGCGTTGTGGGGGTACCACACGGGCTGCAGCCCCCTGCACTGGGACCCCCAGAGCTGGGGACCCTCCCCATGCCCCAGGTACCCCAAAACCTGCCTGTCCCCACACTCCAGCAGCTCACGTGCCTGGTTATTTTGTGCCCTGGGGTACCCCATATTTTGGGTACCCCATAACCTGGGTACCCCATACCCTGGGTACCCCATATCAGGGGTACTCCATGACAGAGGTACCCTATACCCCCATTTCCCTATGCCCCAGGCACCCTGTACCCCGAGTACCTCGTACCCCAAGTGCCTCACACCCCAGTTTCCCCACACCCCAGGTGCCCCACAACCCCGTTACCCCACACCCCTATTCCTCCTATTTCCACTTGTCCATATCCCAGGCACCCCATAGCCTGTGTACTCCACCCTTCAGTCCCTCCATACACCAGGTACCCCATATTCCCAGTGCACCGCACCCCATTTTCTCCATACCCCCCCACACCCTGTACCCCAATTACTCCATCCCCATTCACCCCATACCCCGAGTTCCCCACACCCCAGTTTCTCCAGACCCCAGGGACCCCCAACCCAAGCACCCCACGTCATTTCTCCGTACCCCATCCCCCCCTTTGCCCTGGGGGATTCCCAGCCCGGTGACCCTGATCCTACTCACAGGGAGCACGGGGCTCCCCGCACCCCCACAGCCCCAAACCTCTGCCCACAACCCTAAAACATAACACTGGGGCACAGGGGAGGGGTCCCCCAAAACCACCCCAAGAACAGGGTTCTGGGATGACCCCGCTGGACCCCCTGCTGCCGTCCCACCCCCTGCTGAAGGCGACATCCCCCCCACGTGCCCCTCTGCTTGTGCTGCGCTTGCAAAACTTGTAGGATTTCCTGAAAAGTCCCGCTAGTGGGGAAACGAAACCAGGGCTCGGAGATCCCTCCCAGCGCGCGCGCTCGGGTGGCCGCTGCATTCGCAGCACGGCACGGGGCAGGATGGAGAACTGCTGCCTGCGCTGCCGCCTCCTCTACAAGCAGTGCTGGGGGGTGTGCGTGGGGCTGGCCATCGGGGTGGTTTTGGTGGCCCTGGTCGCAGCCCTCGTCTCCGCGCAGGGGCCGCCGGGGGGCTCGGAGGGGCTGGAGGAGCTGCAGGTGAAGGTGGCCAAGCTGGGGCAGGCGCTGGCCGCCACCGACAGGTCCCTCGCCGAGGTGCTGGCTGTCACCAACAGGTCCCTCGCCCAGGCGCTGGATGTCACCAACAGGTCCCTCGCCGAGACGCAGGGGCAGTGGGAGAGCTGCAGAAAGGAGCTGGTAGGTGCTGGGGAAATGGGGAGGGGGACGTCCCTTACTGGGACCCCCCCCCGGGCACAGGGTTTGCTTTGTGCTGCTCCCAGCCCAGGGAGGGGGGAAAAGAGCTGGCGCCTGAGGCCGTGTCCCCTGTCCCTTTCTGTCCCCGCGCTCAGGACACGGTGAAGAGCAGCGTCTCGGAGCTGACACGGCGTTTAGCCCAGCTGCAGCACCACGGGGATGAGCAGGAGGCCAACGTGGGGCGGCTGCAAGGTGAGCACCGGGGACACCCCGGTCCCTGCCCCCTGGGACACCCCTGTCACCCTGCTCCCTGACCCTTTGTCACCCCCCCCCCTTTAGAGGACAACAGGGAGATCAAAGAGAAGCTGGAACAGCAGCAGCAGCAGCTGGAGGAGGCGCAGAAGGACAGGTGAGACCCCCCGCTCCCCCCTGCTCCCCCCACGGTGGCCCCAGCCCCGTGCGCTGTCCCCTGACTCTCTCTGTCCCCCCCAGGAGAGATCTCCAGTCGCAGATCTGGGACGCTTTGGCAAGGATCGGGTCCGGACAGAGCTGGCATTCGAGTGGCACCAGCGCGATGTTCCCCGGCGTGGCCGTGCCGCTCGTCCTCCTGGCTCTGCTCTTGGTGGGGACGCTGCTGCGTTGAGCACGGAGCCACGAGAACATGGACCTGGCTTGAACCCCGCCCCACGGGGCGAGGGGGGACGGTTCCCATCCCGCTGGGTTGAAGCTGGTGGTGGCAGCTCCCCCCCAATGGGGACGTTGCGTGGGGACACCCTGGGGAGGCGTTCTGCAAAATGTGCAATGGGCAGGGTGAGATGGGGAGGGGGCAAAAGCAGGGGATGGAGACCTGGCACTGCCCCGGGGCTGCTCTTACGCAAGGGGTTCACAGATACTGCGCAGTTAGGTGGGTTTGAGCTATTTTCCAATAAAAACTCATGAAAACCCAACGTGTTTTGTTGCTCCAGCATCAGGCCAGCCCCCTCCCGGCACGGCGTGGGTTTGTCCCGGCCGAATTTACCCACGGCCGAGGCCGGGGCCGAGCACCCTCCCACGCGCTGCGCAAACCAAGCCCGTGATGGGCTGTGACCTGCAAGAAACCACAGCCCAAAGCGGCGCTGGGCAGAAAAAAACCCCACGGGCAGCACCCGGAGCAACCCGGGCACACCCCGGGCAGCCACGAGCGTCCCCGTTCCCCCCTCCCCGGCATGGACCCCGCGGTGCCCAAAGCCACGCTGAAGGTGCTGGGGCTGAGCGTGGGGCTGCTGGTGCTGGTGGCGGCGGTGACGGTCTCGGTGGCCGTGCTGCTGTGGCGTTCGGAGGCTCTGGGGATGCTGCGGGGCTGCCGGGAGCGGGCTGCCAACGAGAGCCGGGTGCTGGAGCTGCGCCTGGCTGAGCTGGAGCAGGAGCGTGCCCGGCTGCAGCGCGCCGCGGCCGAGAGCGCACGGGCAGAGGATGCGCGGCGCCGGGAGCTCACCCAAGCACGCCAGGAGGGCAAGAAGCTCAATTCCAGCTTGGCGTCCTGCCGGGAGCGGGCGGTAGGTGCTGTGGGGATGGGGAACTGGGGGGGTCCCCGGCCCCTCAGACCCTGCTGTGGGGTTGCATGGATGCGGGGAGAGCAACGCTGCCCAGGAAGGTTGGGGAGGTGGCTCCTGGCACGGCGCAATGGCCAAAACCGTGTCGATGCTCCATCTCCGGGGGGATTTGGGGCAGGCTCGTGGAAAATCCCAGCGGCAGTTGGGGTGTGGAAAGCCCCCCTCCGGTTCCTCGTGCCTGGCTGGGGGGCAGCTATTCTTAGCAGCGCCCAAACCGAGGCACTCCACACGTATAATTAACCCATCCCAAAGCAGCCACCGAGGCCGGAGGCCGGTGCGGAGCTGCCTCTCCTCTCCTCTCTTCTCTCCTCTCCTCCGAGGTATTTTTAGCTGTGGACCCAGCTGGGAAAGGGCCTGGCCCCAGCTCTGTGGCCGCGGCCGGAGGAAGAGCGGGGCCCACCTCTCCTCTGCCATCCGGCCAAACAATGGCCTGGAGGGGCTGGAAAATGCTCCGGCGTCCCGGGGCTGGCGCCAGCCGCGGGGACCCGACTGGGGCGAGCTCACGGAGAGCAGGAGCCCCCGGTCCCCACGAGGCACCCATAGAGGCTGAGCAGGTCGGGGCTCCCTCTGTGCCCCCCGTGCATCCTCACCAAGGCTGCGCTCAGGCTGTCCAGGCTTTGCTCCAGGGGATGAGTTTTTCCCCCCAAATCCACGTCCCCACCTCCTGGAGAAACCTTCCCGGCGTGACGAGGGGGACACAAAGTCACCGGGAGCACGAGGGGTTGCTCTGGGGACACTGGGGAGGGCGGGCAGCAGCTGAGGAGCTGGGACGATGCTGCCCACCCCATTCCCACGCCGTTTTGTCCCCTGTCCCCAGGCCAGGCTGGAGGCCAACGCCACGGCGCTGCGGGACGAGGCGCTGGCGCTGCGGCGCGAGCGGGCTGAGCTGGCCCGCAGGAACGCGGCTCTGCAAGGTGTGTCCGTCTGTCCGTCCCCTGGGACCCCACCCCGGGGTGCTGACCTGGCCACCCACCCCCTGGGGACGATGCCCAGCCGGGTGGCTCAGGTTTTGGGGTGCCCCTTTCGCCCCGCAGAGGAGCTGGCGCAGGGCACGGAGGAGGCGAAGGAGCTGCGGCGGCGGCTGGAGGAGGCGGAGGAGCAGCGGCGAACGCTGCGGGCACGTGGGGAGAAGTGTGAGGCTCGGCAGAAAGAGCTCGAGAAAAACCTGTGAGGGTCCCATCCCTTTGCCGTGCCCCCCCTGGGTGCCCCCCCAGGGCTGCAGGTGCCCCCTGACACGGCTCTGCTCTGCCCGCAGGAGGGACCACGCGGCCGAGGCGGAGGCGCAGCGACGGCGGAGAGTGGGGTCCCGCACGGCCAGGCGCAGGTGCCCCCCTTCCCGGTACATTTTTGGGGGCTGCCCTGCTGCTTTGGGGGGGTCAGGGGGCTGGGCACCTTGGGGAGGGGGCTCCTCACAACCCCTCGTGGGCGCAGCTCTGCAGGTGCCATCGCGCCCCTTTTGTCACCGGTGTCCCCGCTCACTCGAGGCTGTCCCCTCTCTTGCAGGAAAGGCTGAAGCCCCGCAGCATCCTTCCTGCCCCCCCCACCCCCTTTTTACCAGCACACCGACCACGCTTGGGTACGGCACCGCCACCGCGCCGGCACCACCGTGGGCCCCCCCTGCACCCACCCGGGCTGAGCCGAAGCGGGGTGCTGGGGGTGCCGGGGCCGTGCCCATCATTCCCAGTCCCACAGCGCCCCTTAGCACTGGGACCCAGCAGCAGCTCAGCCCCGCTGTGCCGGGCAGCATCAGAGCGGAGCCGTCGCAGCGAGACCCCCGGCACTGCCCTCGCCCACCTCCACGGGCACCCAGGGGCAGGGCTGGGGCTTTTTGGGGTGCTGGAAGCCTTTGGTGGCCACCACCTGCTTGTCGCAGCTGATTTATTGGACCAGGATCGTGTCCCGAGGTTATCCAAAAGGGTTTATTAATCATTAACCGCATTTATCCGCGGATTAAACGGACGTGGTGGTCAAGCACCTGCTGTGGTTAACCTGCGGTCAACCCCCCCCCCCCCCCCCCGGCTACTACTCACCTAAAAATGAAGCCAGTTCTTGTATAGAAAACAAAATATTGCTCAAGTTTGGTCCAGAAACATCCCATACGTGCAGAGACGTCGCTTACCTCGCTGCAAGCACCGGTGTGGGGTCAGGACTCAGCCTCGAGGGATTTGGCACAGGGGGGGCTCCGCACACCCCAGTGCCTGCAGACACCCCTAGCGCAAAGTCCTTGACCTGCAGCCAAAAGCACGGCACGGCTTTGGGGTGTGCACAACTCAGCCAGCTCCAATTAGCCCTGCTAATTAGCAGCACCCCAAGGGTGGGCAGCAGGAGGCAGAGGGAGGGCACTTGGCAACCCCGGGTACCCCCAGGGTGGGTGCTGATAGGGGCTGTGGGGCTGAGCTGGGGAGGGGGGTGGGAGGGTGTGGGGACAGGGACCAGCAGCTGCTGCTGTTTCGCGGCCACTTCCCAGCTCCTTTGATCTTCCCGAAGGACGGTTTCCAGGAAAGTTGCCGATTTTCCTGCCGCTGCCACAGCGATATCCTGTGCAGAGGGCAGGGCGGCTGTGAGGGGCCGAGCGCAGGCATCCGGCCCCCCCCCAACACACACACACCAAACCCTGGGGGTGGGGGGAAAATCGCCCCTACGGTGGGCAGCCAGGCGAGGCTGAGACAAAGGGGGGGCTGCAATAGGGTCCCAAATCCGCAGTCCCCAAGCGCGGTCCCACACCCAAGGGTTTGGGATGGGCAGGACCCGTTCCCATGGCCCGACCTCGATGCAGCCCTTGGCACAGGAAGGATTAATTATAGACGGGCGGCTAATTGGAAAATGGGACAAAGAGGCAGGGTGGGCACATAGCAGGGGGACTGAGCCCCCCCGGGGATGCCCCGTGGGGATGCTCGGGCACCCCAAAGGACGCAGGGAGCCCTCGGGGACCGCGTGGCCGCGGCGAGCATCCCATCGGTGAAGGCAGCGCCGCGCCGGGGTCCGGAGCCGGCAGCGGGGTCAGGGGCCAGCAGAGCCCAGACAGAGTCCCCACGGCGGGGCTGGGGGGGGAGCGGAGGGGGTGAGTCACCGTTATTTGCAGCTCAGGAAGGAAACGCGGTAGCTGAGAATGGATTTGGGACCGACACCGTCCCCGGCACCGCAGACACTCGCGGGCCCCAGGGAGCGTGGCACAGCGAGAAGGCAGGAAACGGCGAGCGGCTCGGCTATGGCGGGGTCAGCGCCAGCACCTCGGCACCCCCCCGCTGAGCCCCCCCCCGAGGTCCAGGCATCCTTCAGCGCCGGCTGGGGAAGGGCCCCAAGGAGCGGGGATGGGGACGCACGCGGTGGTCAGGACCCAAAGGCGGCCCCGTTTGGCACAGAGCCGGGATCTGGGATGGTGGAGATGCTCCGTGTCCCAGCCTGTCCCCAAGCTGGGCGCTGTGTCCCCCCCCCCGGGCTCACCGCTCCGCCCTGGGGACCCCAAATCAAGCGGGATGGGTGGCTGCAGCCCCGCACCCCCGTGGCACAGGATGGCAAAGCCCTTGGGGGTCCATCCTGCACGTGCTTGGCATCCCCGGCAGCCCCATGGATTGGTGCTGATGCAGGCAATGGGGTCAAGGCCACTTCTGATGGGGTTTGAGGCCACCTTTGATGGGGTTTGAGACCACCCCATGGGCTGGGGCACCCCGCCTGGCCTCTGGGCTCCCAGCCCCACGGCTGCACCCACCCTCACCCATTCCCCACCCCGGCACCCCGCGGTGCCCACATCCATCGCCGATTCCCTCGCGTGCGGGGTGAGGCTGGGGAACGGGTCCCAGGGGAGAGCTGATCCCTTATGGGGGGGGGAGAGGCTGCGCTTTGCCCCCCGCCTGCCAGCAGCCGGGAACAATAGCCCTCCTGCAAACAGAAGCTGCACTGTGATAACCCGGCGGGTCCGAGGCATCCGGAGAGGCAGGAAGGAGCCCAGCAGAAGGAAATATTAAATAGGGCAATATAAACACGGCTCCGGGGAGCAAGCTCCACCCCGGCGCGGCCCCATTGAAAGGGGCTGCCGTGGGGTGGGGTGAGCAGAGCCGCGGGGGAGCATGGAGAAGAGCGGCTACACCATGGCCAAGTTCGGCTTGGAGACCAAGGAGGCGATGCCCAGGCGGGACTGCGGCTTCTACATGAAGTACGTCTTCCTCTTCACCTCCCTCATCCAATTCCTCATCATCCTGGGGCTGGTGCTCTTCATGGTCTACGGCAACGCGCACGCGGGCACCGACACGCACCTCCGGCTGCTGGAGGAGCAGCTGCAGGACCGCTACAACAAGATCATCACCCTGGGCGGCAGGAACGCCAACCTGACCCGCGCCCTCAACACCACCCTGAAGGAGAAGCAGGGGCTGCAGGGCACCCTGCAGAAGGTGCAGCGCGAGCTGGATAAGTGCAACAGCAGCCAGCTGCCCAACGCCACCCCCAAGGTGAGAGCTGGGATGGGGAGAGGGGGGGGGAAAATCCCATTTAACACACCCCCAAGGGATGGAGGAGGGGGTTTGGGGTGCGGGCAGACCCTGTTGGTGATGATGTGCCCCCCACCCCCAAGCCCTGGGAGCGCCCGTCAATGGGGTTCCCACCTCCTGGGTGAGCCCCCGGGGCCACCGCTGCCAACTGGGGGGTGGTGCCAGAGGGAGGTGTGGGGGGGTGTCCTACAGTGCTGACCCCCTCCCTTTCCTTCGCCCAGATGCAGGAAATGATGAAGGCCATCTTCATCCAGAAGGTGATGCTGGACGATTACCGCTTGACCGTCAACCTCATCAATGCCAACTGCAGTGGTAAGGGGGCCCCGACCCCAACCCACCATCCTCCCCCCCCCCCCCAGCCCTCTGGGGACCCCCAGCACCCCCAGGGCACCCCCAGGGCACCCCCTGAAGCACACCATCTCCCCCCTGGGGCCTGGGCAGGGACACCACCCCGCGATGCCACATGGGGTGGGAGAGGGTGCGGGCAGGCAGGGGGGGCGCACACCATGCACCCCAACCCTCTGCCCCCCCTCACCCCGTGCAGCCGAGAAGGCTCAGCTGCGGAGCCAGCTGGACCAGACGGCCCTGGCGAGGAAGGAGCTGGAGAACAACTGCGCCAAGGGGAGCGCGGAGCTGGCCAAAACCAAGCAGGAGCACGAGGGCTGCCAGCAGGAGCTGCTCAGAACCAAGACCGAGCTCACGGCCACCAAATCCCAGCTGGAGCTGCCGAAGCACGAGTGCAACCTCCTGCGCTCCGAGTTCAGCATCCCCCTGCAGCGCATCAGGGAAACCATCAACCCCTACAGCTGCGGCTCCACGCACGAGGAGCTGCGGCGGCTGGCGCAGCGCGCCGAGGATTTCTTCCTCCAGCAGAAGAGCCGCGAGGCCGTGTACCAGGAGAAGGTCGCCTGCGAGCTGAACCTGCTGCAGTGCCAATTCAACGGCACCCGGCTGAAGCAGGAGCTGGAGAAGCGGCTGCAGGAGGCCGACAAGCAGCTGAAGGGCGGCCAGGAGGAGAAGAAGAAGCTGCTGGCGGAGAAGGAGCAGCTCAGCAAGGAGCTGGGGGAGAAGAGCAAAGCCGCCCTGCAAAGCAACTACCTGAAGCAGCAGCTCAGCATCTGCGAGGGCGCCAAGGTGAGGGGGCAGCTGGGGCACGGGGACAGCCCCCGGGTGTCTTCCACGGCCGCTTGGGGAGGGCGCGAGGCTGGGCGCACGCAGCCTTCGTTGGCACGGGCACTTTTGCACGGGCACTTTCCAGCCTTGCCTTTTTACCCCTGCGTTTTCGGACCCGCACTTTCGCCCGTGCGCTTTTGCACGGCCACTTCTCCACGTGCCTTTTTTCAGCCTTGCGTTTTTTACCCTGATATTTTCAGACCTGCACTTCTGCCCGCGTACTTTTTCCCCGTGTACTTTTTCCCGTGCACTTTTTCCCGTGCGCTTTTTCCCCGTGCGCTTTTCAGCCTTGCATTTTTTTTACCCGAGTTTTCGGTCCTGCGCTTTTGCCCGGTCCCGCGGCGCACCCCGGGCAGGGACAAGCCGCGGTGCCACCCTCAGACCCTGCTCCCCAGAGGTGCCGGGAGCCCTCGGTGGCCGTGCCGAGCCCGGCACCGGTCCCGTGGCGTGGGGCAAGGGCCCTGAGAGCCAGCACCGTGCCCCCTGTCCCTTAGCGGATTGATGCCTTCGACCTCACCGGCTTGTGGGGCAGCGTGCGGCCGGGGACCTTCGCCAGCCCCAACTCCTACACGGATTCTCTGAGGAACCCCAGCATCTTCAGCAGCATAGGTGAGTCCGTCCCCAACCCCAACAGCCCCCGGTCATCCTAGGGTGGGCACTGACCCCCCCCACAATGAGGGTCCCCCTCCAGGCTGGCTCAGCCCCCGCTGCTGTCCCCCCACCAGGCAAAATGAGCATGGAGGAGATGGAGCGGTTTCTGCAGAAGCTGATGGAGCCGTACGTGGCCACGCCGAGGAACCCCAGGTGAGGGGGGTGGGCATGGGAGAAGCCCCCAACCCCCCGGGTGCAGAGCGGGGGGGCTGATCCTGCTCTCCCTGCAGCGGCTAGCGGCCGAGCGGCGCGGGGGGAGCCGCGGCGAGGGGCTGGAGGACAGGAGCAGGACAAGCCTGGAGCGGCGTTTCCCCACTGCACCGATGGAAAACTGCAACCGGGAGCGAGCAGGGAGCGGGGCCGCATCCCCCCCCCACCTCTCCCCTTCCCCACCCAACCCAACCCAAGCCACCCCCTCCCCACACGCTCGGCCTGGCTGGCAGATGGAAATAGAGGCAGCGCTCAGCACCGCCACGGCTCGCCATGCGTCTGCTGCGATGCCCAAATGGGGGGGGGGGGGAAAAAGAGGTGGGAGGAGGGGGCGCAAAGGCCAGGGCCAAAGGGGGAGTGGGGGGGGGAAAGGGAACATCCCGTCCCCGCTGCAGATGGGCAGCTTGGCGGAGGAAACGGCAGCCAGGAAGAGCGCGGTGGGGAGGCGGGGGGGGGCTGTTCCCAGAAGGGGCCGAGCGGCGGCCAAAAGGCTGCCCCGAAATGATGGGGATGGGAGGGGTGGGGGGGTCAGGGATGGGGGCACAAGGGATGGGGAACCCCAGCTTTAAAGAGGGAGGGCTTGTGGGTTCAGGCAGCCCTTTGGGTGGCCGCAATCCTCCACCCCCCCCCCTGAAACCCACCCTCGATGGCAAACCCGGAGCTTTCCCCCCCCATGGGAACCCCTCGGGCACCAGCGCCGTGAGCCCCCAGCCCAGGAGCAAAGCCCAGGCAGCCCCCCACCCACCCCATCCCCCAAAATCCCTGGGGTCCCTGGGGACCCCAGCGTCCTGGCTTTTGTCACGCAGGGTGGGGGGGCCGGGGCGCATCAGCGCGTGCAGGGGGGGCCGAGCCCGGTGATTAATCACCGCTGCCACTGCTCTGATTTATGGCCCCGCTTCCCTCGCCTTCCTGTTTAAAGAAGCTTTTCCTGACACCCCCGCCCGCCGGGACGCCCCCCTCCCGCGCTGCCCGCACGCCACCAGCACCTTGCCCCTGGCACGTAGCACCCCAAGGGCCCCCCTAACCAGCACCCTTGGGTGCCATTTGAGACCCCCCCAAGCCACACAAAGCCACGCGCTGTGGGTGTCCCGAGGCACGGGGACACCACCGGGTCCCCCTGTCCCCAAAGTGCAGGGACAGGGTGGGATGGGGGGGGGCACAGCGGGGCTCAGCCCCTGCCCCCCCGTGCAGCCCAGCTGGGGAGCTCCGGGACTCCCTTGCTGCTGGAGGAGCCCCTGGGGCTCCACCACAAATAACCCCAGACCCCAAATGAGGAGGGGGAGAAGGACAAGCACCCCCAGGAACCCCACCTTTTAGGGCCTTCCCCAACCCCACCGAGCACAAAGCAGCCACGGAGCGGGTGGGGGTGAGAGCTGGGGGGCACCCAGGCCCCGGACTGGGGCTGTGGGGCCACGCTGGGTGCTGAGACCCCCAAACCACTGCCCTGGGGAAGGTGTTTGGGGTGTCAGGACTGGGCCCTGCATCCCCCAGGGCCCCGTTCCGTGCTATGGGAAGGAGATGCCCAGGGGTGAAGCCAAGGTTTTTCCATTCCAGACACTCCAGCTCCTTGTTTATCCTCCTGGCCAGGAAACGCGGCCTTTCCCACTGCTTTTTTTCCATAGCTGGGGCTCAGGACATACTCCCCCCACCCCACAGCCAGGGAAAAAAAAAAAAATCACCGCATCCTGCCACGGGGCCACCGAGCCCTGCGGGGACCGCAGAGGGGGACAGAAAAAGGATGCCAGAAGCAACCCAAGGCACCACGGTTTAATCCTATTACTGGGGTTGGGGGGGGGCCGTGCCCTGGCTCCCCCGTCACTTGCCGACGCAGAAATCCCTGAAGATGATGTCGAGGACGTCCTCGGCGCCCACGTGCCCGGTGATGCGCCCCAGGTGCCTCCTCGCCAGCCTCAGCTGCTCGGCCGCCAGCCCCAGGTCCCGCGCGCGGTGCCGGCCGTAGCGCGCCAGGGCGGCCGCGCAGTCCCCCAGGTGCTGGCTGTGCCGGCGCTGTGTCAGGCTGGGCGAGCCGGCCAGGGGGTCTCCACACCTAGGGGAGGGGGCAAAAAATAAGAAATAAACCACCCTGGAGCACCCCCCCTGCCCGTACATGGGATGGGGGAAGCGGTGTCCCCTCCCCAAAACCCGCCCTGTGCGCTTACAGCTGCGCCAGCTGCTGCCCCAGCAGCTCCAGCAGGCGCTCGATGCCGTCGCCAGTTTTGCAGGAGAGGAAGGGTGGCGGGGGGCACGGGGGGGCCCTGGGTGCAGGCAGCACGCAGAGCCCCCGCGTCCCCCCTCAGCAGGTCGGCCTTGTTGAGCACCAGGATGCAGGGGGCATGCGGGGGGCACCAGGGACCCCACGGCAGCCCCCAGCGCCGCCGGCTCGGTGGGCACGGCCGTGGCGTCCAGCACAGGCCAGCACCAGGTCTGCCCGCTGCAACCTGCGGGGACAGGGACACGGGGCCACATCCTGACACCGTAAAATGTGTGGGGGGGTGCCCCCAGATCCTGTCTGTCACCCCCTAGACCCCCCCCAAATCATGGTCCCCAACTCACCGGTCCCGTGCCCGGCTGACGCCCTCGCGCTCCACGGGGTCGGTGGCGTCGCGCAGCCCGGCCGTGTCGCTCAGCACCACGGGGTACCCGGTGACATTGAGGGACACCTCCACCACGTCCCGCGTGGTGCCCGCCACCGGGGACACGATGGCTGCTGGGCGCTGGCCTGGGGAGGGGGGAAAACGGGGCGGGGGGAGGGAAACGGGGGGCTCAGGGTGGGGGCGACGCCGGGGACCTCGTGGCCGCGCAACGTCATCGGGGATGGGGAGGTGGCTGCTGTCCCCAAATGAGGGGAGGGGGGGGTTAAATGTCACCAGCAGCCCCCCCCGCGCCCCACTCACACAGCAGGTTGAGCAGGCTGCTCTTGCCCACGTTGGGGGGGCCGGCGATGACTGCGTGGACCCCCCCGCGGAGCAGCTCCCCCCGGCGCCCGTCCTGCAGGTGGGCTCCGAGCTCCTGCTCCAGCGCCCGCACGGCTGCGTCCACTGCGGGGACAAGCGTGGTGACGTTGAGGGGGGGGGGAACAACAGCAGGGACAAGGTGCTGTGCCCCCCCCCGCCACCCCCTTACCTTGAGATAACACCTCTTCCTCCACGTTGTCATCCTCGCTGAAGTCGATGTAGGCTTCGAGGTGGGCAAGAGCCTGGAGGGGCAGCGAGGGGGACGAGGCTGAGCGGGGCCGGCCGCCGCGTCCCCAACCCGTTTGTGCCACGGGAGAAAAACCCAAGCACCTGGACACGCCCCCCCACCCCAAAAACACCCCCTTTACCTGGGTGAGGGTCTCGCTCCAGCGCTGGTAGAGCCTCCCCAGCTCGCCCTCCATCTGCCTCAGCGCCTGGCGCCGCTGCGCCTCCGTCTCGGCGTGGATGAGGTCCCCGAGCCCCTCGGCCGCCGTCAGGTCCAGTTTGCCGCGGTGGAAAGCTCGCCGGGTGAATTCGCCCGGCTCAGCGGGGCGCAGCCCGGGCAGGCGCCCTGCCACGGGGCCAACGGGTGAGCCCCGAGTTTGGGGGAAGGCTCCGGGAGCACCCCGGGGTGCAGGACCCAAAGGAATTGGGGTTGGGGTCGGGGGGTCTCACCCAGCGCCTGCAGGACGCCGCTCACCACCGCTGGCCCCCCGTGCACGTGCAGCTCGGCGCAGTCCTCGCCCGTGAAGCTGTGGGGACCTGGGGGTGCCCCGGGCACGGCTCAGATGGGTGGCACCGGGGGTCCCCAAAGGGATTTGGGGAGGGGGAGCAGGAGGGAGCCCCCCCGCCAGCAGCAGTTTAGGGTCAGGGACAAGGGGGCAGCGTTGACCGCACGGTGCCGGGGATGCCAAGAGGGGCTGCGCCGTGCCATGGGGGGCACCCAGACCCCCCCCCCAAAAAACCCTTTCCAGGCACTCAGACCCACAGCACCAGGGATCCCCATAGGGATTTGGGGAGGGGGAGCAGCAGGGAGCCCCCCACCAGTGGCCAAGCTTAGGGTGGGGGACAAGGGGGCAGCGTTGACCCCACACAGCCCCGACACCACGGTGCCGGGGACGCCAAGAGGGGCTGCGCCGTGCCATGGGGGACACCCAGACCCCCCCCCAAAAAAAAACCTTTCCATGCACCGAGACCCCCCCCAGGCACCCAAAACCCACAGTGAGCACCCAAAACCAGCCAGGCACCCCCCCACCCCCCCCCCCTCACCCCCAACCTGGGAACCAGACGACGAGGCCGCGGTCCAAGGGCTCGGCGGTGGCGGGGTCCCGGATGCGGCGCAGGGCCATGACGCGGGGGGGGGGCAGCTGGGGGCGCCCCGTGAGGCTTTTTAGGGCCCCCCCGCTGCCCGGCCCGCTGGTGCGGATGACGGCCACCCCGCAGCGCCCGTGGCCGGAGGACACGGCGAAGATGGTGTCGCCCCCCCGCGCCGTGCAGCACAGCCGCTGCTGCGCCCACCTGCTGGGGGGGGCGTAAATATTTTGGGGGGGGTCCCCATGCACACCCCAAAATAGAGCAGAGGGGTGTGATGCCCCCCCCAAATCTCCTCACCCTATGTATGGGTGCGCCCCTGCCCCTTGCAAACTGACCCCCCCCCCCCCACCAGGGGTGTGCCCCCTCCCTGTGCACCCCCACTGGTTCCTGGGTGCCCCCCCCCCCTCATCACCACCCTCAAGGGTGCCCCCCCATCCCCCCCTCAATGCAGACCCACCTCTGCGGGCACCCCCTCCCCAAATGCACCCCCCATATCGCAGGACCCCCAGCCCTAAGTGTGCCCCCCCTTATGTGCAGCCCCCCCCCGTGCACCCCCCCTCCCATGTATCCCCCCCAAGCAACCCCCCCGGGCACCCCCTCCCCCTGCAGACACCCCCCCTTCCCAGACACCCCCCTCCCACCCCCCCCAGCCCCTATTCCCCCATGCAGCCCCCCCATGCAGCCCCTCCCCATGCACCCCCCAAAGCCCCCCTCACCCCATGCAGCCCCCCCGTGCACCCCCTCCCCCTGCAGACCCCCCCCTTCCCCGTGCACCCCCCTGTGCCCCCCCCTCCCCATGCACCCCCTCCCCATGCACCCCCTCCCAGTGCCCCCCCCATGCACCCCCTCCCCAAAACCCCCACCCCCAACCCCCCCCTCCCTATGCACACCCCCCGAGCACCCCCTCCCCAAACACCCCCCCATGCAGCCCCCTCATGCACCCCCTCCCCCTGCAGACCCCCCCCCAGCCCCCCCTCCCCATGCACCCCCCCATATGCACCCCCCCCCATATGCACCCCCCTCAGCCCCCCCCCCTCCCCATGCACCCCCTCCCCATGCACCCCCTCCCCGTGCCCCCCTCCTCCCGGTGCCCCCCCCCAAGGTGCCCCCACCTCGCCCCCGCCGCGCTCAGCGCCCTGCGCAGCGCCATCACCCCCCGGCCCCCTCCTCTTCCTCCTCCTCCCCTCCCGGCGGCCTCAGCGCGGGAGCCCCTCCGCGCCCGTGCGCGCCACCCGATTGGCCCGCTCAGCCTAGAGGGCGGGCTTTACACCGAGATCCCGCTTCTGATTGGGCGGCGGCGGGGAATGACGCAGCGCCGCCTGAAGCCGCTGCGGGCGCGAGCGCTGCCGCCCGGCGTGGGGCACGGCGCTGCGAGGGGCTGGCCGAGGGGGTCCCCGCTGGTGCCCCCCCCCGGTCCCCTCCGGTCCCCCTCGGTCCCCCCCGGTCCTCAGCGGGCCAGCAGCGCTGCAGGGGCTCAGTCTCGTCCCCCACAGCTCGGGGGTCCTCCTGGTGGTCCCCCCCAGGAGTGGAGGGGGTGCAGGGGATGGGGGGGTGCAGGGGATGGGGGGGGTGCAGGGGATGGGGGGGTGCAGGGGGTGCAGGGGGTGCAGGGGATGGGGGGGTGCAGGGGATGGGGGGGTGCAGGGGATGGAGGGGGTGCAGGGGTGCAGGGGATGGGGGGGGTGCAGGGGGTGCAGGGGATGGGGGGGTGCAGGGGATGGGAGGGTGCAGGGGATGCAGGGGGTGCAGGGGATGGGGGGGGTGCAGGGGGTGCAGGGGATGGAGGGGGTGCAGGGGATGGGGGGGTGCAGGGGATGCAGGGGGTGCAGGGGATGGGGGGGGTGCAGGGGATGCAGGGGGTGCAGGAGGGATTCAGGGTGATAGAGGCAGGGGTGCAGGAGGGATGCAGGAGGATGGAGGGGATGCAGGAGATGCAGGGTGATGGAGGCAGGGATGCTGGCAGGGTGCAAGAGATGCAGGAGGGATGCAGGAGATGGAGGGGATGCAGGGGGGGTTCAGGGTGATAGAGGCAGGGGTGCAGGAGGGACACAGGAATTGCAGGAGGGATGCGGGATGATCAAGGCAGGGGTGCAGGAGGGATGCAGGAGATGCAGGAGGATGGAGGCAGGGGTTTAGGGGATGCCAAAGATGCAGGAGAGACACGGGGGATGCAGGATGGTGGAGGTGTGGGTGCAGGAGGTGCAGGATGATGGAGATGGGGATGCAGAAGGGACACGGGATGATGGAGGTATAGATGCAGGAGATGCAGGAAGGATGCTGGATGGTGGAGGCAGGGATTCAGGGGACGCAGGAGAGACAGAGGGATGCAGGAGATGCAGGAGGATGGAGGCAGGGATGCAGGAGGTGCAGGAGGGATGCAGGAGGGACACAGGAGAACACAGGAGGGATGCAGGAGATGTAGGACGGATGCAGGATGATGGAGGCAGGGATGCAGAAAGGATGCAAGAGATGCAGGAAATGCAGGACCACACAGGAGGGATGCAGGAGATGCAGGGGGGACACAGGAGGACACAGGAGGGACGCAGGAGTCCCAGCGATGCTGCAGCCCACCAGCACCACCCCCGTGCATACAAACCCCTCTGGATCCCCCCCTGGATCCCCTCCCCACACTCCATGGACCACGAACACGGGACCAGGAGCCCAACGGAGGGGATGCAGCAGCGAGGAGTGGCTCCAGCTCCCAGGCTGGGGGGGGGGGCTCAAAAAGGGGACGGGGACGGGGACAGGGATGGGGACAGAGGCCAGGCCTGGCTCGGGCAAGGAGCCAGCTCGTGAGCCCCAGCGGCAGCTGCCGGAGCAGGGGACGGTTCCCGGTGGCACCGCGTCACCGCTGGCACCCAGGCACCGGCCCCAAAATAACCGCGGGTGCTCAGAGCTGGGGGGGCAGGGGGGGGCCAGACCTAGCCATGGGGGTCCCCAAGTCTTAATGCTCACAGTGCCATGGGGATGGGGGGTGCCTGGGGGGGCTGCAGCGGGATCCCCACTCGGTGACACTCTGGGGGTTTCGGGGGGGGTCATTGGGGTTGGTTTGGGGGTGGGGGGGGGGCAGGGGAGGGCTCCCAAATGTCAGCACGGCCCAGGTCGGGTTCCCTGCGTGCCTCCACCCGAAATAACCGGGCCTGGGCACGGTGCCGGGGGGGGGGCGGGTTAGGTGGGGGGGGGGGGGGCAGGGATGTGGGGCAGCTTGGGGGGCTGGGGGGGGGGGGAATGGAGGGGCTGGGATGTGGGGCAGGAGGATGGAGGGGGGGTTACACAGGAGGGGGGGGCGATGCGGGGGGTGCAGGGGGCATCGTGGGGTGGGGGGGGGTCAAGCAGGGTGGGGGGGTGCTGGGGATGGGTTGGGGCGGGGGGGGGGGGGCAGGGATGCTCCGCACCCTCCTCCCCACCCCGGGGGGGGGGTGATGGAAGAAGCGGGGGGGTGAAGGGACTCCTGGGTCCCCCTGCTCGGCGCTGGGGGGGTTGAAGGGGGGGGGGCGCTGCGCTCCACCGCCTTTGTCCCTCCTCCTCCTCCTCCTCCTCCCGGCCGGGCGCGGCGGCGGCGGCGGCGGCTTCGGGAGGCTTCGGGAGGCACCGGCCCCGTGCCCGGAGCCGCTGCGGTCCCCATGCACCGATCCCCGCCGTGCCCCCGCCGCGCCCCCCGGTGCCCCCCACCATGCCCGAGCCGCCGGCGGCAGCTCAAGAGGGCGAACGGCCCCCCCGGAGGCCCCCCCCGGCAGCCGACGAAAGAACGGAGCCGCCGGCCCCCGCTGGCGTTTTGGGTAGGTGGCACCGGGGATGGATGCGTAAAGAAAGGGGATTTTGGGGGGGGGGGCACCGGAACCGGGAGGAGTCGGCCCCCCCCTGGGTTTGGGGGGGGGACCGGGGACCGGCGGCGGGGCCGCTCCCTGCGGCTCAATGCGGCGGGGCCGCTCAAGGAGGGGGGGGGGAGGTGGTTTTATCCCCCCCCCCCTCTTTTTGTGCCATCCCGGGGGGGGTCGTGGTGGTCCCAGCAAAGCTCTGTGCTGCCCGCACCCCCCCCTTCGCTTTCTCCTGGCTGTTTGGGGTTTGGGATGGATGTGCGCCCCCCCCCCAAACCCGGACCGCTCCGTGCGCCCCCCCCCAACCAGGACAGGGTGCATTCAGGGGGCTGCGCGCCCGAGGATTTATCAATTGATCAATGCCCCCCCCAGGGCAGCTGTGTCACCCCCATGCCATGCGCGTCCCCCCCCCCGCCGTGGAGGTCCTTTTGTCCCCCCTTGCCAGTTCCGTGCCCCCCCCCCCAGATGGGGTCCATGCGCCCCAAGGGCAGCGGGTGCGGGACGAGGGCTCTGCCACCGGGTCCCCAACATGAGAAGGGGGCTGCAGGAGAACGCGTGCCCCCCCCGGCCCCCCAGCAGGTGACAGCACCGAGGACGTGGCTGGGCTGGGACACGGGGCGGCACGGGTGGGAGCGTGACCCACTTTGTGCCCCCCCCCCGCAGCAGGCAGGTCCGGCCTCCAAATGACGCCTGCCTCTGCCCCGAGCGGCCACGGGCTCTATGGGGGTGGGGGGGGGCAGGGAAGGATTTTGGGGTCCCCAGAGCCCTGCGGCTCCGGTGACCTTACCCCAAGGTGAGCGGGTGGCCATGGGGACAAGGGGGGAGCGAGGGACAGCGGCGGCCCCACGGGCTCGGTGGCTCTGCCGGCGGTGGCACCGGTGGCACCAGGAGGGGACGTGGGGCAGGAGGCAGGGACGGCCCCGTGGCCAGAGTGGGGGGGGTCAAGTGCGGTGTCCCCACCCACCCTCCCCATGGTCAGGGGGTCAGGACCTGCGCTCAGGACCCCCCTGCGGCTCCTCCACGTCTCTTCCAGTGACCTTGGGCAGGAGGAGCCCTGCTGCGCCCCGAGCAGCCGAGCCCGGCTTTGGGGTCCCCGCGCCCCCATCCCGCAGCTCCTCGGGATGCAGGGGGGGGGGCTCACACTTTTCTGGGGGCCTCGTGGTGCAAAGCGGGGCGCTGTCATGGCCTTGCACACGTGGGGGCTCCCACACACACACACACACGCGTGTGTTGGGGTGTGCGTGCGGTGCCCCCTCCCCAGCCGGCCGCTCTCCCAGCTAGGATTTCAGCTCCCTGGTGCGGGGCGTAAATAATTCAGCGGGCTGATGGCCCTATAGGAGCCTCAGCACCCCCCAGCCGAGCAGGATGGGTGCTCATCACCATCCGTGCCGGAGCAGAGCGGGGGTCCCACTCAGGCTGGGGGGGTCCCGGTGTGATGGGCAGGGTGCCTGCACGGAGCAGAGCTTGGGGACCCCGCGGGGACACCCCAGTCCCCTACCCGAAGCATCTCCCTCCCGGCACCCTCGGTGGCCCTACAGCTGTGCCAGCACCCACAATGCCGGGTTTGTGCTCGGCCAGGCCCTGCCTCGCCACCGCGAGGGCGTTTTCTGCTGTGCGGGGTGAGCGAGGGGTGCCCCCGGGGTGCTCCGGGGGTGTCGGGTGAGCCGTGCCGAGCTGTGCCAAGCCTGCCCGGAGCCGTCCTGCTCTTTCGCCCACGGTGCGGGCACAGGGCGGCTTTTCAGCTCAGCCCCTGCCCACCCGGAGCCGCCGGCAGCGGGGGAGATGAGTTTGTCGGGTCTCAGCCAGTGCTGGGGCCCTGCTTTGTTTTGGGATGGGGGGCCCAGAGCTGGGGCGCATCCGTTGGGATGGAGCAAGTCCGGAGCAGGTCCGGAGCAGGTCCGGCATTTCCTGGTTTTTTGGGGCCGGCGTGCCCAGTGCCAGCAGGATTTCCTGCGCCCCGGGACCTTCCCAGCCCTGGGGCTGGCTGTTGTGACATCCCCTGCGCCCTGGCTCAGCAGGGGGAAACTGAGGCACGGAGGCAGGCCGGGTGCTGCTGGCGTGCGGGGGGGACCTGATGGCACCGTGGGGGCCTCGTTCTGCCCTCCCTGCCGGTTTGGGATGCGCCGGGTCCCCTGTCCAGTGTGAGAGAGGGCAATGGGGGCACCGGGCATGGGGACAGCGAGCCTCCATGGCACGGCCACCCCAGAGCAGGATGGGGGCTGTGTCCCTACAAAAACCCCAGCCGGGGGGTGACAAGGGGACCCTGGGGACCGTCCCCATCCCCGCTCTTCGCAGCGGCACGGGGCCTCCCCGGGTTTCCATGGAGACCAGGCTGCTTTTTCGCTCTCCCCATTTTTCCTGCCATTTTCCATCTCCCTGCGCCTGCGGCCCTGCCGGAGCCCGGCCCCACCGAGGGGCTGCGGGCAGAGGTGAGCACGGGGTGGGGGGGGGGACACCCAGGGGGGCACCGGGGATCCCGGCCCTGCCAGGTTGCGCCACCGCCGCCTCCTCCCCGGCAGCTGTCGGGGCTTTTTCGGGCATTGGGAGCTGCCGGAGGAGAAACCTGAGCCGGGGCCGGCGTCACCTCGCTGCGACCCGCTGGCACGGCCACCAGCTGGGGACACACCGGGGTCCCTGTCCCCTTGTTTGTGCCAGCAGCTGAATCATTGTTGATTCGGGGTCCGGATCCCGCTGTGGGGCTGCAGGATTGAGGTGAGGGGGAGGCCTGGGGGTGCCCGCAGCTGTTCACCCCCTCGTCCCCCCCTATCAGACAAGCTTTTTGGGAAGCGGCTGCTCCAAGCCGGGCGCTACATCATGTCCCACAAAGCCTGGATGAAGACGGTGCCCACGGAGAACTGCGACGTGCTGATGACCTTCCCGGGTAGGGAGATGCGTGGGGTGCCCGCTGCTGGTTCGGGTTTGGGGAGGGGGGGTGAGGAGGGGTCCGATGGCACCCGGAGCTCCTCACAGCCCCCGTACCCGCGGTGGGGACACTGGGGAGGGACGGGGATGGGGGACACTGGGGACAGGCGTGGGCCGGTGCGAGCGGTGCCGTGCGCCCCCAGACACCACGGACGACCACACGCTGCTCTGGCTGCTCAACCACATCCGCCTCGGCATCCCCGAGCTCATCGTGCAGGTCCGGCACCACAAGCACACCCGCGTCTACGCCTTCTTCGTCACCGCCACCTACGAGAGGTAGGCTCCCGGCCACGTCCCCGGCCCTGGGTGTATCCCCCCCGTCCCTCCCCGGCGCCCTCAGCCACGTCCCCGGCCGTGTCCCCGCTCCCTGCAGCCTCCTGCGTGGGGCCGACTGAGATCGGGCTGCGGAAGCCGGTGAAAGCCGAGTTCGGCGGGGGCATGCGGAGCTTCTCCTGCGAGGAGGATTACATCTACGAGAACATCGAGAACGAGCTTTACTTCTTCACCTCTCAGGTGGGACACTCAGGGGCGAGGGCCAAGGGGCAGGGACGTGGGGACATGGGGCAGGGACATGGGGACATGGGGTAGGGACACATGGATGTGGGGCAGGGACACGAGTCATCGTCCCCATATGAAAAAGGGGATTGGAGACCCCCTGGCCCAACTGGGGACCAGGCTGAACACCCCCAAGCTGGGGACAAGAGAGGTCCAGAGGGGACAGGAGAGGGCAGGGGGTGGGGAGGGGATGCACAGGGGGGACACGGGTGTCACAGGAGGGGTGCTGGGGGCCGGGCAGGGGGGCTCACCCTGGGCTCACCCCGTTGCGGTGCCGCAGGAACGGCAAAACATCATCAGGTACTGGCTGGAGAACCTGCGCGCCAAGCAGGGCGAGGCGCTGCACAACATCCACTTCCTCGAGGGGCAGCCCATCAGTGAGTACGGCACGGCACGGCACGGCCACCCCCCACCCCAGCCACCTCCCCACATCCCAGCTGTGCCACATCTCACCCCCAGAAGGTCCCCGGGGTGACAAACAGGGGGACAAAGACAAACAGGGGGACACGCGGTGCGCACGCCGTGCCGTGGCCAGGGTTGGGCACCGAGCCCCCATCTTCCTCCATCACCCCAAGCCCACCCTTCCCGTTATCCCTACCCCAAACCCTGCCGTGCCAGGCCTGGCTGGGGACATATTTTGGGGACCCGGGGTGAGGGGGGGGGGGACAGCAGCGTCCCCACGCCTCACCCCCTGTCCCCGCGGCGCAGTCCCGGAGCTGGCAGCCCGCGGCGTCATCCAGCAGGTCTTCCCGCTGCACGAGCAGAGGATCCTCAAGCGGCTCATGAAGTCCTGGGTGCAGGCGATCTGCGAGGCTCAGCCGCTCGGTGAGGCACCGCCAGGGGGTCCTGGGGTGGGTTATGGGGGTCCCGGCCCCGCTCACCAACCCCCCCCCCGGCCCCCCATAGATGAGATCTGCGACTACTTCGGCGTGAAGATCGCCATGTACTTCGCCTGGCTCGGCTTCTACACCTCGGCCATGGTGTACCCCGCCGTCTTCGGCTCCATCCTCTACACCTTCACCGAGAGCGACCAGGTGCGAGGAGGCTGGGAAATGGGGCAAATCCCAGCTTTTTTGGGGACGTTCCCCTCCCCGCTCCAGCCTTTCCCTTTGATGCTTTAATGCCCTAATTGCTTCGGAGCTGGGAGGCTCCTAATCCCATCAGCTGCTTAACCGCATCCCGAGCCCTCAGGGCAGTGGGATCGGGGTCTGGGAGGCTCCCCAGGACCACCGGATGGGGTGGGGGCTGAGATGGGGGGGCGGTGGGGACAGGAGGGGACCAACCCCGGTGCGGTGGGTGCCCTCCGCCCCGCAGACCAGCCAGGACATCTGCTGCGTGGTCTTTGCCATCTTCAACGTCATCTGGGCCACGCTGTTCCTGGAGGAGTGGAAGCGCCGCGGGGCCGAGTTCGCCTACAAGTGGGGGACGCTGGACACCCCCGCCGAGTCCATCGAAGAGCCCCGGCCCCAATTCAGGGTGAGCACTTTTTGGGGGGGTCCCCACGGAGCTGAGCGCCGTCCCTCCAGGTCCTGTGTGCGCGGAGGGGGCTCAAGGCACCGGGGTTGGTGCGGAGAATTGGCACCATGGTGATGTCTGTGGTTGTTCCTGGGGGTTTGAGCTTGGTCCACCCCCCAAGGCAGCACTGGGGTCACACGCTGCTGTCCCCCCCCAAAAATTAGGGCATTAAGAGAATCAGCCCCGTGACCAGCGTGGAGGAGTTCTACTACCCGCCGTGGAAGCGCCTCCTCTTCCAGTGCCTGGTCAGCCTGCCCGTCTGCCTCGCCTGCCTCTCCTTCGTCTTCCTCGTCATGCTGGGCTGCTTCCAGCTCCAGGTGGGTCCCGGCACCTGGGGGGGCTTCCACACAACCCCCCCCCACCTTTTCCCTCTTTGCTGACCCCATCCCCGTAGGAGTTCGTGCTGAGCATCAAGGAGCTGCCCCGCATCATCCGCTTCCTGCCCAAAATCGTCCTGGCCGTCATCGTCACGACCTGCGACGAGGTTTACAAGAAGATCGCCTACTGGCTGAACGACATGGGTGCGTGGGGGCCAGGGGCAATTTGGGGGGGGGGGCACGGCGGCGGGGTTGGATGCGGGGACCCCCCCCCCAAAACTCACCCCCTCGGCTCCGCAGAGAACTACCGCCTGCAGAGTGCCTACGAGAAACACCTCATCATCAAAATCGTCCTGGTAAGGGGGTGGATGGGGAGAGGGGGTGTGGGGGGGGGGCACAGACTGAGGGTCCCGGCGGCCGCCCCGCGCTCACCCTGCCCTCTCTTCCCCCCCCCGCAGTTTCAGTTTGTAAATTCATACCTAAGTCTTTTCTACATCGGTTTCTACCTCAAAGACATGGAGCGGCTCAAGGAGGTAAGGGGCAGCGCACGGGGCCGGCGAGGACCCCCCCCAAAAAAAACCTCCCCGATGCCCTCGGATGGACAGACGGACGTCCTCGAGCCAGCGGCACCCTGCACCCGTCCCCCCCCCCTCCTGCTGTCCCCGCATGCCGCGTCACCGCTCACGGGTCTCTCTCTGTCTGTCTGTCTGTCCGTCCTTCTGTCCCTTCCACAGCTCCTGCTCATCTTCTCTCTCTCCCAAAGCCTCATGCGTCAGCTCAAAGAGGCTCTCCTCCCCTTCATCTTCCTCCACCTCCACCTCTCCCTCATCTTCTTTAAGGGCCTCCTGGGCTTTTGCTGGAGACTGGGAGTATCCAAAGTAGGAGCGGGGAGGGCGGGGGGCCGTGCATGCCACCCCCGACCCCCCCCACGCACCCCAGCGCCCGGGGGTCCCGTCCCCACCACGGTGGCACGCACGAGGCCGGCGAGCTCGGTGATACCGGGGTGAGGGGGGCACCGCTTTAGGTGTCCCCCCCCTCTCCAGCGGTGTGGCCACGGGGAGGAGCGGGGACCCCGCAGGCGATGGGGGGCGCGGGAGGGGGACACCATGGGCGCTGGCACCCTGGGGTGACAGCGGGTTGCCCGGTGTCCCCACGCAGATGCTGGCCACGCTGCTCATCACCCGCCAGTTCCTGCAGAACGTCAAGGAGGTGTCGCAGCCCCACCTCTACCGCCGGCTGCGCCGGGGGGACCTCAGCCTCCGCAGCCTCCGCGAGGTCGCCCATGCCGTCCTCCGCCTGCTCGCCCGTCCCCGCGGCCCCCCAGCCCCCGGAGGCAGCCCCCGAGGGGTCGCGGGGCGAGAAGAAGTGTCTGAACGGGGGCTGCGGGGTGCCGGAGGAGGAGGAGGAGGAGGAAGAGCGGCGCGAGTCGGATTCGGAGGATGAGAGCGCCCTGGACTGCGGGCTGAAGCTGAAGAAGGTGAGCTTCATCGAGAAGGCCGAGCGGCGCGGCACGGAGCCCGGCTGCCCCGAGGACGAGAGTTTCCTGGAGGAGGGCAGCCCCACCATGGTGGAGAAGGGCATGGACCCCGCCTCCGTCTTCGAGCTGGGCGAGGATGAGGATGACGCTGAAGGCCCCCCGGGAAGCCCGGTTAAGGCAGCCGAGCCGGTCGCCGTCCTGCGGGGAGGTCGGAGGAGGAGGGCGGCCGAGAGCAGGGAGGAGGAGGAGGGCGAGGAGGAAGGGCGCAAGAGGAACCGAGCCTCCTGGATCGACCCGCCCGAGGAGGATTACTCCACGCAGCTGACGCAGGCAGAGGTGGAGAGCTGCATGAAGAAATACGAGGTGAGCTCCGGCAGGGCATGGGGGGCATCCTTCGCAAGCCCCGCTGCAATGCCTTCCTCCTCCTCTTCCTCTTCCTCTTCTTCCTCCCCAGGACACCTTCCAGGACTACCAGGAGATGTTCATCCAGTTCGGCTACGTGGTGCTCTTCTCCTCCGCCTTCCCCCTGGCTGCCATGTGCGCCCTGGTGAACAACGTCATCGAGATCCGCAGCGACGCCTTCAAGCTGTGCACGGGGCTCCAGCGCCCCTTCGGCCAGCGGGTCGAGAGCATCGGGCAGTGGCAGGTGGGATGGGGGCCACGGGGGGGTCGGGATGGGGGTCTCAGGGTGGATAGGGGTCTCGGGGGGATGGGAGTGGGCTGGATGCAAGGCTTCCAGCTCATCCCCCGGTGCTGTCCCTCGTGCAGAAGGTGATGGAGGCCATGGGCGTCCTGGCCATCGTGGTCAACTGCTACCTGATCGCGCAGTGCGGGCAGCTCCAGCGCCTCTTCCCCTGGCTCAGCCCCGAGGGAGCCATCATCTCCGTGGTGGTGCTGGAGGTACGGCGCTCCCTTTGTTATCGTAGGGTCTCCCGCTGCGCTGCCCTCTCCGGTCCCATTTTCCCCTCCCCCACCCCTGTGGGGTGCATTTGGGGGAAGGGGATGCTCAGCGTGCCCCCCCCGTGTCCCCACAGCACTTCGCCCTGCTGCTGAAGTACGTGATCCAAGTGGCCATCCCCGACATCCCCGCCTGGGTGGCCGAGGAGATGGCGAAGCTGGAGTACCAGCGCCGCGAGGCCTTCAAGGTAGGCGATGCCAACGGGGTAAAGGGGGTAGGGCTAACGTGCCCCTCGGGGCCGTGCACGGAGCAGGGACGTCCCCCGAGGCGCCCCCCGTGCCCGACGCGCTCCCCGTCGGCAGAAGCACGAGCGCCAGGCGCAGCACCACTTCCAGCAGCAGCAGCGGCGCAAGCGGGAGGAGGAGGAGCGGCAGCGGCACGCCGAGTACCAGGCCCGCAAGGAGCGCGAGTCCAACCGCGACGAGGCCAAGCCCGAGGCCGCCGGGCAGGACCCGGCCCACGAGAAGAGCCAGGGCAAGGGGAAAGGCTCCGGGGGCACCTCGCACGGCTCCGACAAGCCCAAGCGTCCCAGCTCGCTGCTGGCCACCAACAACGTCATGAAGCTGAAGCAAATCATCCCTCTGCAGGGCAAGTTCCTCTCCGGGGGGGCCGGGGCCGGCAGCACGGCCGCCGCCAGGTCCCCCCAGTCCCCCACCGGCAGCGATAACAAACTCCCCGGCTTCCTCAGCTTCAAGTTCCTGAAATCCCCCGAGACTAAGAGGGACGCGGGGACCGAGAAGGTCCAGTCGCCCACCAAGCCATTCAACCCCGGCAAGCTCTTCAATTTCGGCAAGTCCGAAGGGGCCAGCGGCAACGGGGCCGCGGCCACCGCCTCCCCCCAGCCCCGACCCGGCCCCTCCACGGATGGGGGCGAGCGGCCGGGCCCCAGCAAGTCCCACCTCAACGGGGTGCCGGAGGACTGGGGGCCGCGAGGAGCCGGAGCCGCGGGCGGAGGAGGAGAGCGGGGGCTATAAACTTTAAGGCGACGTTTCGGGAGCGAGCACGGGCGTGCTGGCCCCGCGCCCTGCACCGTCCCCCTCCGTCGCATCCCCTCGTGCCCCTCCAGCCCCCCAGCTGGGACCCACAGCCCCCGGGGGGGTCCGGACGCCCAAGCGAGGCACCGTCGGTGTGAGCAGCAGCAGGGCCTGGCCGTGTCCACGCATGGAGCGTCCCCTCCTGTGCCTCCGGCAAATTCGGGACGGGCAGGTGAAATCCTGGTCCTGCTCCACGGCTCCAGCACCCAAAGGGACGAGGGGAAATTCAGCGTCCCCAAATCCGCCGGGAGCATCCCGCAGAGCCCCCATGGGTGAAGACAATGGGGCTCGGCCCCACGTCTCCGATGGCAGAGGAAGGAGGCGGCGCGAGGAGCCCGATTCACCCGTGCCTACCGCCACCGCCGCGTCCTCCTGCATCAACCGGTGCCATCCCGCAGCCTCGGCACAGGGTCCTGGTCCTGCCGGCACGGGGACGTTCCCCGGCCCCAACACCGGCCGGGAGGGAGGGGGGTGAGCGGCGAGCGCCGGCCACCCGGATTCCCATGCATGGGCAGCATTTCTTGCACTAAAACAAAACAAAACAAGAAAAAAAAAAAAAAACAAAAACAAGGCAAGCGGCTCGCTCCCGTTCTTCGTGCGACGGCTGGAGGCGGCGGAGGCAAGAGCTCGGAGCAGCCCGGCCGTGCCCCAGCGACGTTCCCCTTCCCTCTCCGCTTTCTTCTCTCGTGGAATTAACTCGCAATAAGGCGCTCGCACACGTGGACATCACGGTGTGGGGTGGGGGGCACGCGATGAGGGGTGGGGGGGGGTGGGAGCAGCTTCGCTTCTGCCGGGGCTGAGATTTTGCCGCCGCTGGGTCCAGGCTTTAGCGCTTTGGGAGCCGCCGTCCTCGTGGGGAGGGGGCTTCCCGTGGCTCTGCTTCGCTTTACGGGGTGGCGGGGGCCGGGGTAAGGCCTGCTGCTCGCTGTCCCCTCGCCCCCCCAGCTCCGCTCGCTGCCCCCGCCGAGCCCCCGACCATTTCCAAAGCAAGCAGGGGGAAGGGGGGGCTGCGGCCGCCCCATCACTGTGCCTGGCCCAAGGCCTGGGCTGTAGAACACGTCAGGTTGTTTTTCCCATCCCGTTTCTCCCCAAAATGTGTTTTTGTTTTTTTTTTGTTCCCCTTTTGTCTTTGAACCAAGCCATTTTATACAGCAATAAGGCCAGGGGGGCACAAAGGCTCTGCTGCTCCACTCACCTGCGCTGCAGGGGCGATGGTCCGGGGCGGATGGGGGGCTCCTCGCACCCAACTTTGGGGTCCCCAGGGGGGGCACGGTGGGGCAGAGCAGCCCCCTCGGCCTCCCACGGGGCCGGGCACCACGCTCAGTGCCTGCCAGGCATGAAGAGCAGAGGATTTCTGGGGCAAGATGAGGGAAAAGGGAGCAGCGGGCTCCACGGTGCTGAGAAACTGGGGCAAACGGGGCCCAGAAAGGACGGGAGGAGCAGCACGGCCATGCCCCGGAGCTGCTGCTCCAAGGGGAGCAGGAGCAGGGGAGCCTTGAGCGAGGGGAGCTGTGACCCCAACCCCCTCCCGGGCTCAGCTCCCTGCTGCAGAGCCCCAAATCCTGCTCAGCTGCTCTGCCCACACACCTTGCTGCCACCCCCTCCCGTTCCCCGCTCCCCATTTTGGTTCTCGGCTTCTCCCTGGGTCTGGCTCACCAGCTCCCAGCTCGGTTCTTGGTTAAAAGGCTAAAAGGTTAAAAGGTTCTTGGTCCTAAAGGAATTCTGTTTGTCCCGTTTCCCTCCTGGGGTAACGGCCCCAGCACGAGCTGAGCTGTCCCCACACCACTTACCGGGGGACAGCGCAGGGTCCCGCTGCTGCTGGACCCCACGGTCCTGGGCATTTTTAAACATTTCTCTCCCCAAAATATTTCTAAGAGCGGCCGCCTGTCTGGTATCTCACTCTTCCGGGCAGTTACTGTACAAAGGAGGGAATTGTTTCCTTTTTTTTTTTTTTTTTTCCTTCTTTTCTCCCTTGCTGTGCGCTCTCTTTCTTCGGAAACTAAAAGAAATGAAGGGGGGGGGTTATTTATTTCTTTTTAATTTATTTTGTCATATTTTTGTAAAACCTGCAGAAATGCAATAAAAAATATATTTCAACAAGCCTGAGGCGTGCGCTCAGTTATTGCCCCAAGTGGCTTTCGTAGCGTGCTCAGGGAGCGAGCCTCAGTGCTCCTGGCCCTGGGGAGGGCAGAAGGGGACACTTTGGGGCCACCGTCACCCCTCAGCCCCCCCAGGCAGGGGGAGGCTTTGAGACAGAGACACGAGGACGAGCCCTGCAAGCACGGGTGGGTTTAGGGCACGCTCAGGCAGCAGCGCCCGCAGCCACGTCGCAGCTCTGTCAGCAGCAGGAAAGGGGAGAGGAAGAATGAAGAGTGGTAGCCCTCTAAATTCTGCAAATTTATTGTACACAGTATCAAACATGGAAGAGTTTAAAAATAAATGCAAAATTCCAATGGCCGTGACATTTGACTAGCAGTGTATTTACAGGCACTCCACGACGGCAGCCCTTCTGCCAACACGCAGCTGTCAGAAAAAAAAAAAATACAAAACACAACAAAAAAACGCATTCTCCCGGCCCCACAAGACAGGATTTTTTTGCAAAAAGAGGGAAAAACTCACGGAGACAGGTGGGAAATTAACACACACTCACAAGCTCGACGCCGCGCTGCGAAAACCAGCCTGGGATGGCGTGTGCTGAATGGAGCGAGGAGCCACAGCAGGCACGGGGGGACAGAAAGCTGAGAGCTGCTCTGAGCCGCTCGGTCGGGGTGCGGGACAGGCCAGGGCCGGGTGGTTTAACTAAAAATACCCAGCACGGCCCGCTAATGGCACGCTGCGCACTGATTAATGAGAAACGAATGCATCTGGAAGGCAGCACGAGCGCGGTGCAGAGGCCGTGACTCAGCTCGGCACATCCAGTCCGACCTCACGCTGTTTCTTGCGGTATCTCATGGGGCATCTCGCGTCCCTGCACCCCAAAACCGTGGCTAAGGAATAAACTGAACGGCCCCGTCCTGCCCGCAGCCACGCCAGCTGCCCCAGCCCTACCCACACTCGGCCTCCGTGCTGCTTATCAAAGCGGGGAAAAGCTTTTTGATAAGCTCTTTGACCTGTTCAGGTGTCTGCAGGAAAAGCACCGCGTGTGGGTGTAGCAGAGGCAGTTCGGGTTGGAGCTGACTGGGACAAATCATCCCGGTGATGGGTGTGGAGCTGGGAGCAACGAGAGGCGTCGCTGCCGGCTCGCTAGCCGAACGAAGCTCGCTTTGGTCAGGAACGGGAGGAAATTGAAAGCAGAATTGTAGCAAAGAGAGGATAAATTTCTGTCCTCGTGGGGCACGAGGCAGCTTTAAGGCAGCTTCGCTTTCCTAGAGGGGTGGTGAGCTGAGGACTGGGCTCAGCCCACGAGCTGGTGGAAAGCCCTGCCTGCACCTCACAGCGTGGGGGGTAGCAAAAAGTGGCCCACCTTACATCACCTAAAACTCCTGGCCAGCCAGCTCCTGCACGAGGAAAATCCCAGTTGGGAATAGGGTCGAGGTTTCGCAGTGCTGCCCTTCCATCCTGCCAGCCCAATGCCCGCTTTTGGGTTTGTATCGGTAAAATCTGGCCCTCCACCACAAAACGTTAACCCAGCCAGCTCCTCAGAAGGCATGAAGGCTTCTAATCAGAATTCTTAAATTCCTAGAACAAGATAACTCTAAAATCACACCCAGGGGGAGACTCGGCTTGTCACATCTGGGGACAAACTGGCAAAGTTTTCGCCTTTAAAAACAGTCCCAGCGTTAGAAAACTTCAAAGCTGGCGTGTCGTTCCCTTGCTTGTCACAAAAAGTTCCTCCCTGCAGCCTTTCCAATACACAGAAGTTTTTTTTTTCCAGTAATTGAGAAAGGAAAGGTTCCAGAAGTCCTCCCTGACATTAAACTCTGGAGATGACAGGCGTTTCACACAGAAGACAGCTCAGCACACGGCTCAGGATGGGCACGGCGGGCTGGATGCGACCACTAGCCCCAGCTGTCAGCCCACGCAGCCAGCCCACCTGGCCAGCCTGCTGGCTCAGCCTTTCGGGTGATTTCTGGCACCAAAACCTCCCGGATCAGCTGTCAGATGAGACCCCTGGGCTGCACGCTCGCCATCAAGCCGCAGACATTTGTGAGGCAGCAGAAGAGAAACCCGAAAGCGCAGTCAGCACAGCGTGAAGGTCAGCCTGTGCTTCACCAAGCCCGTGATGCAACACCCCTCCTGGGCACCGCGACCAGCACAGCCTCCGCATCTCGCTCCCAAAAATACCCCGAGCTGCTCTCCCAGGTAGATTCAGCCCTCTCTTCTGTAAAGAAAAGGATTTCCCACTCCTTGTTAGACAGCAAAAAAAAATTGTAAGATAAAACCTGACACGGAGAGACGTCAAGTGGAAGCCCTCTGGTCGCGGTCAGCACATCGCTCAATTCCCCTGCTGCCAGGCTGACGTCATTAATGCAGGAAAACTATTTTCCTATTGTAAAGGTTTTTCAAAAAGACCCGCATATCTACAAGAAAAAAATGAAGCTAGTGGTAAATAAACAAGCCAGGAAACAGTAGCTGGTAACAGAGCCAATAGCCACAGAATTTAAGAACAAAATAAAAAAAAATCCAAGACTCCTGCTTAGCCTTTGCCATTAAGGCCAGAGACAAAGAGCTCGCCAGAAAATAAAGCTCTGAAGTTCGACCTGTTCTATCTAGTGCAGAGTGAGAACGCTGAGGTTAATGTTCATCACGTTCAGAAGTCGTCTCAGAGGAAGCAGCCCGAGCACCCATGACTAACTGCTGCGTAAGGCACACGCTGGAGGGAAGGAAACCCATCTGCCACCTGATCCTACTCGGGAGCACACCGCACAGCCTTCCCCACACGGGGCCTTCAGCAAAACCCCAAACAACTGCCTGCACGTGGAGCTCGCCAGCCAACAGCTTGGCTTACCCCGTTCTCACCAGGATTATGATGGCAGAAAAGAGTGCCCAGGTTACGTGCATCCTTGGGATTCATCCCCAGGCTCAGAAGCCAGCTTGGGACAGAAATCCCAGACTTTAAGACTGCTGCTGCTTCTTTTTTTAGCCTAGGACAGACACAAAGTATTATTTTTTTTCTTTAAATCAGATCTAACTTATCTAAATGACTCTAAAAGCCTGTTCCCTTCCTGTGAAAGGCATCCTGTCCACCTTAAATACTCCTCTGGTAAAGACTTTGAACACTTTGCAGCCCAGCTGCAGCTCAGCAGCCTCAGGCAGGAGCTGAGCGGCTCCTTCCTGCCCTCCCAGCCTGGATTTCCATCCCGCTGCTGATCACTGGGTCTTCACAGCTCAACGTGGTTTCAGGGCTCATCAAAAACTTCTGCACGTGCTTGCCAGCTCCGTAAGCTTCGTAGCAGTCCTTCACTTGCCAGTTTGGTACAAAAGCCAACCTTCCAGCCACGGGTTCTGCTGCGTTTTGCATTTCCCTGGGTTTACTACTGTCACCTCCAGGCTCCTGCTCGAAGCGCGGGCGACACCGAACGCGCAGCGGGTTCAGGGCCTCGTCCATTAGGGCCTTGAAAAACTTCCAAGGACAGAAAGAGGAAGCAGCCTGAAAGCCACCCGTGCAGATGTTCCCTAACCGACCATCCTCAGACAAAACAAACTAATCCGGCAAACGTCAGGAATCAGCCATAAATGCAAACAACAAACACTTTGCTGCTCTGATGCAGTTCCCTGTGAATTCACAGCTGGGCAGAACATGTTAAAATCTGCCCTTCTTTCCAACATTCCCCCCCCTCCTCCAACTCTTACGCTGTGAGGAGTAGGTTGGTGGTTTTTTTTGACTATTTCTCCCCTAAAAATAAAATAAAATTATATGATACCAAGAATTAACCTAGACAAAACGTTAGTTTCCCTGCACATCAGTCACTAGTGTATTTTTATGTTCGAAAAAGGCAGTGCCTAACTTTTTAATATTCTAAACTTACCCAACATACATCTCAACTGCTGTTTAGTGCAGGAGCGCCCTGCCTGGCAGCACAGATGCCCCCAAACAGGACAGTCTGGTCCTGGATGGACTCATCGTCCCCTGGTAGAAAGAAACGTGCTCCTGCTGCTTTGACTACTGAGCAAAGATTCCCTATTCAGCTACAAAAAATCCTGATCTCTGACAAGTATCTCAAGTTCTCATTAAAAAACCCAAACCTTTAGTGTACATTGGTAACAGAAACAATACAAATTCCACTAGGCAGACACGTACAAAAGAACCCCTGAGGGTCACTAAATTTCAGTCACTTTGTAACAAGAGAGGCTGAAGTGCGAAGAGCTAGGCATTGTACAAACAGTGTGGTCAGCAAGAAATCCAGGGTTTGGGTTTTTTTTCTTATTTTTGTTGTTTTCAATGCACTAAGGCACCAGGAAGTCACAGTTAGGCAAGTAAGATCTTCCATGCAACACTCAAACCTGATACACTTACCATGGATTAAACAGATAGGATCAAAGTGCAATAGCTTGAGGACAGCACTCTGGAGCCAGGAGCAGCAGGAAAAGTGAGCTGGAGAAGGAAGGAGAGGAGGGAGCTCTCGCTGCAGATCAGATGAGATGTAGAAAGACCCACTGGGGGTATTAGAAATCCACACTGCTTGTGCTCAACCATGAATGCAAAAAAACAAACAAACAAAAAAAGACAAGTTTGATACTTAAGGTCACATCTCTTTGAAGATTAGTTTCTCCATCACTTCAGAACTACTTTAAAAAAATAAAAATAAAAAGGCAACCTTCTCTTACCTCCTAAAAATCTCTGAAACATCTCAAAGGCTCCCATAACCAACAAGAGAATTTTTAACGACACGGAGGGAACAAAGACGGGGGTTTACGACAGGAAGGAACTGCCAACTCTCTTTAATAGTACATCACTCTGTCTAGCAGAGAAGTCAGCAAAGCCCAAACCTTGCCATGTCAATCAAGTATACAGCATTTTACAACTTCAACGCACTGTACAAACATTAGTCTGCAAGGCTGCAGCTCTCAAGCTTTGCTAAAACACACAAATTGGTCACACTTTACCACCAGCTGCATGTCCGTTTCCTCTTTTGGTATCTCACAGCTCTTCACAGGATTCTTCAGCTTCAGGTGATCCCTGCGAGACCAGATGCTAACACAGCATCTTCAGTTAACATCCTGCACTTTGCACAGAAGTACTTGTTGGTACGGGCACGCTGGGAGAAGTCCTCTTGCAATTACCAGTAAATCTGACGGAATTCTAAGCAGTTTTTATCTTCACCAACACGGTTGGCATTTCCAACAACATTCCAGTAATTTGGAGGTTACTGCCATCGCAAAAAGGTAACGTTTTCTGAGGCAGGTACAAAGTTCTAAGCTACTCGGTGTTAACTTTGAGTTAAATTCATTCGCTGCATCAGGAACTCGGTGCCTAACACACATTTGAGAACGCAGAGTGAGCTGTGCCCTGCTCTTCCCAAGGTTCTGCCTCATAACACGCAGTCAGAAGCAATGGTCTATCTCCCTTCGGGTCCCCTTCGCCCCCACACCTGATCTCGTGGCGTCCACTGGTAGGAAGGGGCTGCTGTGGAGAAGGGGATAGCAGAAACCCTGGCCTCAAGGCTCGTGGCCACTGCAGTTGCACAGAACTAGGCTCATCCCGGATCTCCAGAACAACGTTCGTGTGAGATTTCTTGAACTGGTGTTTCAGATTGGTGAACGAGGAAAAAACACAGTTATAACTTCATCAATTTAAACTAACACAGTGTGAAGTCAGCTTCTTACATTAAAGCAGACAAGACATCATTACTAAACTACACCTTCCCTGTCCCCTTCAGCGACGATGGTCATTTCCTTTTAAGTCTCTGAACCTCCGACTCCACCTGGACGACTTACAGGTCTCCACTTCTGCTCCTCCTGAAGAGTCAGTGAAGGGTTACAGGCAACAGGCACTGAGCTGTCCCAGTCCAAAAGAGATGGGTTGGTCTTTAACGGAGACCACGGAAGCTCACGTTTGGATCAAAGTCCCGGACTCCACTCCAGACATGCCGATATCGCAGGAAATTCAACGTACCATTAGTCAGAGCCGGCAGTCGACACAGAGAACTAGATCTAGTTGCCAAGGTGCTCCCAGACTCATCCGGCCAAGCGCTGCCTGCAGGGCGCCTACCCAACTCCACTCCATCAGCTGCTGCTTAAATACACTGTTGATCAAATACTCAGAATAGGATAAAAGCATCCTTTTATTCCAACGGAGAAGTTGCACATATCAGTCTGTTCAAGACCAAGAGACTGTTAGAATTAAAAGAGCAACACAAGCAACACACCTTTCACTTGAATTCTCCATGACCACTGACGCATGAGATAATGTACGCTGCCAAACGGCCGTGGCCCTCACAGAACAGACCAAAAGAATACAACTGATATATCAAGTTGACAACACGTTTTGCTAAGATCAACATAATCCTAAATGACACCCATGATTTTTCTTTTTTTTTTTTTTTTTTTTTCTTTTTTTTTTTTTAAGTGCAGTGCCAATTTCAGAGTATTTGAGAAAAAAATAGTGAGGCCCCACACTTATGGCTGGACTGGGCACAAAGAAGAATGAACCACTCGTAACGTGTCAATGGGTACATGGATCAAAAAGCCTGCACCACGCCAGGGGTCTGTAACAACCCATCTCCTGCTCAGGCTTCCATAGCTAGACCCGGTTGGTTAGGTAACAGATTTAACAAAACCTGTAAAAGTGACAGTGTATGCTTTTGAGAGAGGAGGAACTAAGGTTATACTACGTGTTTTACTGGATTGTTCCACCATTGCTCCGTAAGTTTTACGGCATAAATTAAAAAAAAAAAAAAAACGGAGAAAAAATAAATACATTGGCTCCTATGAAGTCAGAAGTGGTTTGGGCTGCATAGTGGATGGGTGAGAGATGGGGGCAAGGGGCGAAATTTACACACTTTGAGACAAAACAGGAAGCGCCTGCAAAGTAGTAGAGGAGAAAGCCAAGAGTTTAAGTGTCCTCGTTCATATCCTGGCTGTCTGTCCGAGCGATTTTCCGTGGTGGCGCCGAATTCTCACCTTCTATTTCCACTTGCTCTTGATCTCTCTTCTTTGCTGCATTCTGTTTGGACAAAGAAAGTCACAGTGAAACTCTCCAAAGCCTTCTGATGCTGGCGGGAGCTAATGCCAGTAGAAAAAAAATGTTGTTTGTAAAAATTTCAGGATGGAATACAGCAATGCGATGACCTAACAGACATACTGAAACAAACCACGAGGATTTTGCCCAAAGCCAAGGGGTGCTTCTTCATATTTGAGGGTGGGGCAATGACACCAATCATTGCTCTCAGCATCTTTTATTTATAGACCTCAAATATTTCATACACATGAGTAAGATTCTCTTTTCCTGCTTCTCTGAGTCAGTCCCTAAACTTATCAAAATCACCAAAAGACTTCCGTCATACACAAATATTTTCTTTTCAGCTTCAAGGCTCCTTATAATTTTGCCTCTCTCTGTGTTCTGCATCCTCTCATGATTAAGATCCCTGCTTTATTATCTCCACTCCCAAGCCCTTGCCTTGTGTCTGAGCCCTTCCAACCCAGGCAGCATTAGTCTCAGACGCCAGCTAGAGCCTCCTAATTTGTGCATTCCTGATACGGGAACTCAGATTTCGTAACCAAGGTACTTACACGGCCTCATTAATGCATTCATGTTCTGCATAAGCTCATCCATCTTTTCCTAACAGTCTTGGGAGGTAGGAGCTCTCCTCTAGCTGTAAAGCAGACAGCTGAGGCACAGGGAGACCAATTTGCAAAGGTCACAAAGGAAAATTGTGCTAAGTGGGAAACAGAACTGAAGCCTCCCAAGTTCTAGACTAAACACTGAGTTACTGTCCTCTGAAACAGAACAAAAAGCTTTTAAAAAAAATAAAATGTGCGGAGACAGAGCTGTGCAGAGACACAGCCTCCTTTTGCTGAAGTGCATTTCACAAGGACTGAATCACTCTTAATTAATCATCAATATCTTGATTGTGATCGATACCCAGCTCTATCAGCCAGAGTCAGCAAATCGAGACGCTTATATTAAGGAAACACAACCATACCTTTTTGTCCCACTGCTGATGTAAGTAACGCAAAAGTATATTTGTCTTTTCTGTTACTATAACTGCCAAAGAAAGAGAGAAACAAGCTGAGGTCGTTTTAAAGACAACCTTTAAAACCGTGCAGCAATCATGACATTATTTCACGTACTAAGCATGGTCCTTTAGATTAAAGGGCAGGACGCAGGAACAGCAATCACTTCGTTAGGACAGAGGAAAAGCACAAAAAAATCAGTAACTAGACATACACTGCTTGTCACTGCGGTGACAGTTCAAGAGAATCGGCTAATCTGAAGTTTAAAATCAGTGAATTTACGTGTATGTCAGATCTTTAAAATCCAAAAACAGGAAAAACTCAATGTCAATGGAGCAGACTTACTTTGTTCAGATGGGTATTCTCTCGTGGGAAGGTATACCGATGGTCTTCTGTTCTGTAGAGGAATTGCACAGTTACAGAACAGCGACGGCCACCAGGTGATTTTTAACTCCAGTACAGCTAAACCAACCCAAAGGCCACCAGAAACCCAGACTACAAATGCAGTCAGATGTTCTGCCCCGTTATATGACACTGTGCTGCTGCTTTTTTCCTCTATTTTTTAAGAAATTCGAAGCAGGTCCATTTTTCTGATGTTTTTCAGGGCCTAAGACCATTACTAAAGAATGTGTGCATACAGAGAGCACCACTGATGTGGCTTGGCTGCCGTGAGGACGCATGCCTCACCAAAACAAGCAGGAGGTTTTCCTTGCCAATCTCAGCTCATGAACTGCAAGCACACATGGCTGGGTTTGTTTGTTTTCTTAAAAACAAACAAACACTCGTTTTCGAGTTTATTTCCCTCTCATATCCTTTGAGCCCTGCAAGAAAACCTCCCAGAGCACCGGGATTTCTGGCCGACACGCAATACTTACTGATGCTTTACATACGGAGTCCGCATGGAATCTGCTGAAGTTGCTTTTGTTGTAGACCGGTAATCCTTTCAAAAAATCGGCCTGAAAAGACAAAGAACACAAACAAAGAAGTAGGTGAAGAAAGGAAGAGTGATATTGCAGTTGTTGTTTGCTTCAGGCCGACTCTCCAAGGAGCAGCTCGGGTCGTTAGGATAAATAACTGCAGGGTTGGGAAGGATGTTGCCAGGTCCCAGCTAGGGAGAGCCGTTGGAAACCGAAACAAAAAAAAAAAGAAAAAAACAACACAAAAGTGGTTTTGTAAACCAAGCGAATCCCCAGCTTTTGCATTTGGCTCGCTGTTCTCCCAAAGTTCTGGAATGCAGCTGGAAGGCTGCTCGAGAAACCTCTCCTAGCATCCAGGTGACGCGGGTGAGCTCCGGAAGGAAGCTCTGCACCACGCAGACCCCAGCGGGATCCACAGACCAGCACAAACCACACCACCACCCGAGGGAACTGCCAGCAGCCACCCCGATGACTCAAATCCTCGAACACGTCCCCGTTTCAAACCAGTTGCTCTTTCGCTTTCAGTCACCATTCTTTGTCGATTCCAGAAAGCGACGAAAGCCTCCGAGGCCCCAAAAACCCAATCCTTATCAGCGAGGCCCGACTTTTTTTTGGTGAAGGATCATGCCCCTGCCTGCGTCAGCGCTGCCAGTACTTCAAAAAAATAACCCCCCCAGTTCAGAGAAGAGCTGAACACACAGGGCAGCGAAGCTATTTGCTAAACAGCAGCGGGAACCCCGCAGAGCCCTCGCTGTTTAATTAAGCCGCACCAGCGTGAAACAGGAATTTCCTTCTCCAAAGCGAAAAAAGGGGGGCGGGAGGGGAGCGTTACGGGGTCACGAGAACAGCCAGCTTGAAAGCCTGCCGGAGCCTCTTCACTCACAGCACAGAGGGACAAAGGGAGATGCTCGGGGAGGCCTTTGAAGCAGCCAGGAGACGGGGAAGAAACGCACGAGGTGCTTGGGCGATAGGCAGGAGGGGCCCTGAGACACCCGAAGCCATCAGATCAGCTACCTGCGCCGCAGTGATCCTCCCTTAAAGCCTCAAAGCCTATTATAGTGCACACCAAAGGCTTCTAATCCTGCACACACAGCAGCCTGCTTAGGAGCAATTTAAACAGGAGGGCGAAGCAGCAGAGGAGCCGTTTGATTTCGGCCTTCGAAGCGATAAACGAATGGCCGCGGCTGCTCCACCACCGCCGGGCTCAAAGGCGTTGTTTCCACCCAAAATAGGAGCCGTTATTTTCATTAAGGCCGCATCTTTAATTCAAAACAAAGAGCTGCAATTAGCCAAACCAGAAAATGTTATTCACGCTCTTGTTTTTGAACCGACGTTCTCGTTTCCACATTCAGCCCTTCCTGGGTGCCAGGTTTTAGCTGAAAGGAGAGACTTGGAAAAAGAGGTTTGAAGCAGCCAACTGCAAATTTCTCTCTGTCTCGTCCCCCTCAGGGGCGAGGGTCCCAGGCTGAAAAGGGTGGGGAATCCTCTAAGGACTTCCACAGGCATCTTCCTCCTCACAGCCCAGGTTTAAGACTCTCTGATGGTTTGGAAGGGCTGAGGATCTTTAGAAACATCCCCAATTTCGAAGCAAACCTTTAACAGCCCGGCGCTACAGGAGCCCGGTCCAGGCACGCCCCTGGGTTCTTTAACTGCTTGCTTTCGGTTTCTGTTCTTGTAAGTGGAAATAACTGTTCCTGCCGAGCAGCACACAGCTTCGGGTCTGCCCCACCTCAGTTCCCTCACCCCAGGCTATTCCCCACTGCCCCATGGAGGAATTTGGGCTGGCAGAGCCTGCGTTTGCCCTGAGAGGGGGCGCAGCTCTCCCCAGGCACGCCGCAGTCTTCTTTAACAGATTTCTACAGCAGTCATACCCAGTAAGTTGTTAAAATACCATTAAAATCATCAGTCCAAATGCATTTTAAATAAGGAACGTGTTTGAAACGTGGGTGCTCCCCCTCCTCTAGAGTATAAGCAGACTGAAGGAGGATGTGCAGCAGCTCAGAGGAGGCGACAGAGACCTCAGCTCCTGCAGGACAGCCTCGAGCACCCCGGGCTCAGCCTCCACCTCACCCCTGGGTGGAGCCACACCTGCTAGGGCAGGAAAACGGCAGGAAAATTGGAATTTGAGCACGGGGAGAGCCATTTCTCTAGTTTAAACGCTGGGAAGTAGAATGGAAAAGCCGCGTGGTTAGCACCCAGGTGATCCTGCTGCTAATCCTGCCCCCGTTTCAACAGGCACCTGCCCTGATGCAACCTCCTGAAAAGGTCCCCTGGGGGAAGCGCCCCGAGGCACGTTCCTGGATATCCGGCACAAAATTGGGAGCGCAGCGCCCCTTATCTGCTCGAAGAGCACCAGATAAGGCAGGTCACCGCCGCACGGCCCCCCACCGCGGTGCCACACGAGGAAATGTTCCTCCTGCAGCCCCTTCTGGCGCTGTTTATGCGAGCAGAGCGTGCCCAAACGCCCAAGCAAGTGACCTCAGGAGGCAACAGCGGCTCCTTCTACGCTTTGGGAGGTGAGGGAGAGATAAGAGGCCATTCCTGGGGAAACAGGGCGCTCGGCTTCCTAGGAAGTCCTCGTCTAAAAGCAGAAAGGTGAAAATAAAGACAAAAAAAAAGCAACGCATGCATGCCCTGTTCTCAGGTTTGGAAAGGAACCACAGCAACCACACTGAGGAGCGTGAGGCCCAAAGCACGGGGGCTGGGAGCAGGGCTGCGTCCCCACACCACGCACACGCGGATGTGGGGTGGGGGAGAAGCACCAACAAGGGGCACGGCCACCAAAGCTCCCAGCTTTGGGACACGGACACCCCCAGGGGACACCCCCCAGGGGACACCGCTGACCCCTCTTTGTCACAGGGCTCACTGAGGGGCAGGAAAAACTCTCTCTTGGCCCCAAAAACAACCCCCCCACTGCAGGGGAAGGGGACGGGATCTCTCCTGGCTGCGACCACCACCACCAAACCCCCAGGCAGCCGCTTGCTACATGGGGACACCCTGACAAACCCCAACAGCCTCCCCACACCCAGACCCTCTGAGCACACAGCACTGGGGGGGGGGAACACCCCACACCCGAGGTACCCCCAAATTTCCAAAAAGGGACACCCCCCCCCCAAAAAGAGCAGCTCCCCCCCTCGAAAAACGCCTCCCAGGACAGCAGCCCCCCCGAAAAACGGGGTATCCCTAGAAGAACAGCCCCCCATGTAAAAAGGGGCACCCCCAGAAGCACAAAACCCCCCCAAAAAAATAAAAGGTGAAGCCCCCCCTCGAAAAGCCGGGTGCCCCCCCACAAGAGAACACCCCCTCTGAGAAAAAAAGACACCCCAAAAATAAACGGGGCAGCACCCCCAAAACACCAACAACCCCCTCCAAAAAACGGGGACCCCCCCCAAAAAAAAAAAAAGACCCCCACACACAACTGACCCCCCCCCCATGAACCCCGCCGCCATTTTGGGGGCCCACACCCGCCCCAGGAAGGGGGGGGGGCGCACCCCCCTCAAGCTCCCTCAGCCCGCAGCGAGAGGGGCCCGGCCTCGCCCCCCCCCCCAAAGCCTCAGGGAGGGTTCCGGGGGTCGAGGGCCGGCGGAGGCCGCGCTCCCCTCAACGCAGGGGGCCCGGGGGCGCCGCCATTTCGGGCGGGGGCCCGGCCCAGCGCCTACCATCTTCGCCGCCGCCAGCCGGGAGGAGCCGCCCCGCCTCCGCCGCCTCAGCCGCTTCCCCGCCCCCTCTGCACCTCCTCCGCGCTCTCCCATTGGTCGCCGCCGCGCCCGGCTCCGCGCTCATTGGGCGAGGCGGCCGTCAGTCAGCGCGGCGCTGAGGCGCTTGGGGTGAGGTAGGGGCAGGAAATGCCCCGCTCGGGAGGGGTTGGGGGGGGGGGGGGAGAGGACCCGGATGTGGAGGAGGCCGCGGGGAGTGATGGGAAATGTAGTCCGAGCGGGGATCCCCTGTGGCTCTCGTTAATGAAGGCGCTGTTAATTGCGTGGTAGGGGCGAGGCTGTTAATTAGCGGCGCTGAGCGGACAGCAGTCTTGAGGAGGAGTTGGCGTGCAGCCGCCGTGTGTAATCAGAGCAACCCCAAACCCTGCTGCGGCCCTGGGAAACCAGACAGCAACCACTTGGGGCAGGCAGCGCTGCCCCACACAGCTCTGCCCACAAAAAGTCACCCCCGGGACCGAAAAACCCCCAAAATCCCCTTCAGCCCAGCACAGGAATGGGTGTCCCAGCCCGGAGCTGCCACCGAGGAACAGGACAGTGTCCCTGATGATTCCCCACTAATTGTACCTCAAAGGGGTAAAGAAGCAGAGCAGGGACACTGAGGATTTGGCCGTTGTAAAATACAAACTAAGCTCTCTCTGGTGTCAGCCCTCATTCCACGCTGCTGCCGTCCTTTCGAGGCTCCCAGGTGCTTGTGAACCTCAGATCAATCTGTCTTTCCTCTCCCCGTTAACTTCACATCGACAATTAGTACAGGAAGCGCAGTAAAAGCTGCTAGGCTTTAATTACAGCTTGTGTTTTCCACAGGTTTATCTTACAATCACGCGTACACATGGCAGTGACCTGACAATTAAAAAAGCAGCCAATAAACCAAGCCCTCGCAGACCGCTCTCCAACCAGGGTGATTCCTCTCGTGCTGCAGAAGGGGCAGCCGGGTGCCGTCCTCAGTAAAAGCCCTCAGGCTGCGTCACTCCAAATCCGAGGCACTTTTCGGGCTCGGTTCCGGCTCACCCCACCCCAAACCGACCCCACGGGCCGAGCCCTCAGTGGCTCAGGGACTTCCTGCCCTTGAGCATGCGCCGGAGGATAACCTCGATGCCTCCCGGTGTGCTGATGCGCTTGATCCAGCCGTGGGTCCGTTTGCGCTTGCGGTTGTTGGGCTGGTACTCGTTGCCCCGCGCCTTGAGGCGAACCTGCTGCAGGCTCCACGAGGACACCGGGCCGGCGAGGCCGAGGGGCAGCTCCCGGGACCTTGACAGGACGGACGCCGCCCGGAGCTGGAAGGGAGAGGCCGCGACGTGCCGCAGGAGGAGAAAACTTGGCAGGGAAAGAGAAATAAAGGAAATAAATCAGCGGGGAGAGGCCGCGGCGCTGCCCCAAGGCCCTGAGGAGGCAGCGGCGCCTTCAGCACAGCCACGCCGGGGGAGAACGGGGGGAATCTCCGCGGCAGCGGGGGTCAGGCCCGGCCCCATTACCGGCTCCGTTATGTTACCGTGGCCCCGTTACCGGCCCCGTTACGGTTACCGCGGCCCCGTTACCTGCCGCCGGCGGCCCGCGGCCACAGCAGGCCCAGGCCCGCCGCCATCACCTCAGCCCTCCCTAGCAACGCCGGCCTCCCAACAACACCGCCCCCTATTGGCTCCTCGCCGCCGAGGGGGGAAAGCGCGCATGCGCCCTGCAGGGCCCAACCCCTCCGTGCCGCCGCGGGGGGTGATGGGATTTGTAGTCCTGGAGACGGCCGAACCCGCCGCGTTGTTACCATGGCGACGGGCTCGGGGTTTGGCCTGGTCCCCCCCAGGCCGTGTCCCAGCGGGCCGCCCGCGGCTCCAAATAGTGGAATAATGGAAAATTATGGAAAAAAGGACCCCCTGTCCCCCTGGGCTTTGCTGGGAGCTTGCGAGGTGCAAAGCCCACCTGGGCAGGGCGTCCCCTCGCCATCAAAAGTCACCGACAAAACATAACATTTAGAGGCATAAACATAAAAACGTAGCCTAAACATAAAACATAGCATCTAGAGGCAGCTCTAAATGCAGAGTTATTCCTTGTCAAAACACTGTGGCCATCACCAGCCCCTGCGTTTCCATCCCTTTGCCATGGCAGGAACACGAGTGACCCCATGGAGGCCCCAGTCCCCATCCTCCCCCACCACCACCCCGTGTCACCACAGCGTTCCCCACTCACCCATTTACCCCAAAATCTGCACGACATCAGCCTGGCCCACCAGCACCCGGCTCCGGCCACCTTCCTCCTGTAACACACACACCCTTTTCAGGACAGAGCAGCATCGTGCACAGTGAGGATGATGAGGATTCATCCTGCTCCCGCTGCTGGGCTGAAAAATGTGGTTTGCAGGCTTTTACAGGGCTGGGTGGTGAGTCACCGATCGTCGGGGCAGATCTCCGCCACCCTTGCTGTCTGCTCTGATCATTAAAAATTGTTTTGCTGGAGGCAAGCTTGGCTGTATCACCAAGAGCAGGCACCAGCTCTGGCTTTTTTCTGTTTTTTGTTGTGTTTTTTTTTTTGACTGTTTTGTTGTGTTCCCTCCAGAAGTCCGTACCGGCAGCATCACGTGTTCAGGAGATGTGAATCCAACCCTCCCTAAAACATGGATGTGAAAAAAATAAAAAAAAAAAAATGAGATACATTCATGATTTTCTATCTGTCGTGTCACAGCTCCTGCTGTGCATGCTCACGGGTGCTGAGCTCTGACACACTCGTGGCGTCTGGGAAGCCACAGATACCAAAACAGCGAGAAAACCATAAAAAGATTTCTCCTCCCTGACAAGAGCAGGGATTAACGACTGAGTCCTGCTCACAACACATTTCACAGGCACCGCTCTGCTCCAACCCCGCTTGCTGTGGGGTGGCCGCACTGGGAGACGGGGGAACCCCCCATTTGGGTTGGGAAACCAAGGCCAGCACCGGGCGGGGAGCTCGATAACCCAAATCCCTGGAGGGGGCAAAACCCAACACCCATCCTCCTGCCCCCCCCCTTGCTCCTGGCAGGCCTCCATGGGCGGGCGCTTGGTTCGGCTTTGACTGGCAAGTCCCCGTGTCTGTCATGCCGAAAGCCCTCCTCCTTAGGAGGGATTTAAGGGGCTTTCTATGGCTAGAGACTACAAGGACAAATAGCACCCCCAAACCCCAGAGCTCGGCTATGAGGCTCCTCTCTCCGCCGGGGCTCATGGGGAGAGGATGGAAGGAGAGATTCCAGTCTAAAGCGGATGAGCTGAGCTGAAGGCACTGCTCCATCCTTCCCCAAAACACCGGCGAAAAAATGTGATCAGAGGAGCCGAAAAGCTGAGCAGGCTGCCAGCGCTCGCGTCCTGCTCCCGCTGCCTCGGGCATCTCTCCCTCTCCCCATTTTGCCTCCTGCAGGAATAAGCCTTTCGTTTGCAGCCTCGACTCCTGACAATCCTTGTCACTAAATGAGGTGAGCAGCACGATCCGGCTCTCTTTGTGCAGGGGACCTGGAGCCCAAGCCCGCGATGTAGGGCATGCGCCGCAGCGGAGGGGAGGAAGGTGCTCGGCACGGGGAGCAAAAAAATGGCCAAAGGAGCAAAAAATGGCCAAAGGAGCTGCCTCGAAGCTGGCGGCCGAAAGGGATTTGCGAGGCGTTTAAATGGGATTGCGGGGGGGAAGCAGCAGCTGGGGAGCAGCTCGGCGTTGTTTGCACTTAAATAGCCCCGTTCCATGAGCGTGAGCGCGGGGTTAAAAAGCTGCCCGGC